CACAATCCTTTTTAATTCAATTCCACTTCCCTACTCAGACACAGTCCGTTACCTTGGCTTCCTTCTTGACAAAAGACTAACTTGGAACCCACATACCAGACTTAAAAGACAAGAACTTAACCGACGATATGGCCAGCTGTATAGATTACTAAGTAGGACATCCCATCTTTCGATTGAAAATAAACTTTTAATCTACAAGACCATACTGAAACCTATCTGGACCTACGGACTTGAACTGTGGGGAACTGCTAAACATTCGAATATCAAACGCATCCAATCCTTCCAGTCCAAAGTACTTAGAACAATAGTCAATGCCCCATATTATGTCACAAACAAGACCCTACACCATGACCTTAACATCCCATTTGTCCTCGACATCATCCCAACCAGATTCTCAAACTTTCACCAAAACCTTATCCATCATCCAAATCCTCTAGCTCAATCCCTATCCAGCTCCCTTCATCCCTACAATCCTCCACGAAGGTTAAAACGGCAGTGGCCCAGAGATCTCTTGTAAATATGCTTCTGGAGTCCTGGCAATGGCCAGCTTCTCCACTCATGTCCCGAGCGTCTGTGGCTCTAGTGCCCTCTTTCAGTCTCCATTGGCTTCTAATACTAGTGATGCGGCTAGAAAAGTGGCACTGGGATCTCCTGGAGTCTTGCTTTGCCTTCCACATGTGGGGGAAAAAGCCTGGCTCGGAGATTCTTGGGCGAATGTATATATTGTATATAGGTATGATTGTGTTTATAAGTTTCTTTTTATGTTATTGTTATTTATTTTTTTTTCTTTTATTTTCTTTCTTCATCAGTATTATTTATTTACTTTTTATATTTATATTAATTTCTCTATTATTTGTATATATTGTTTGAATGAGAACTCTTAGCCCTAATACTTATAGCCCTCCAGTGGCTGATTGTATTATTATTCAATAAATAGATAAAAAAAAAAAAAAAAAAAAAAAATTACTTAGGAAAAAAAGAAAATAACTAACTACCTATATGAAATGGTGTTTAACTGATTCCTAAAGTTCTTTTAAATGTAATTACACGAACACTTTAAGAGATTTTTTTTTTTTTTTTTTTTCCCAAAAACCATGGTTATATTTTACAATTTAGGAGGCGGGGGCTTCAGCCCAAAAGCCCCCCTCCTCTTTTCCCCGTAGATCCGCCCTTGCTGAACAATATACTGTGAGAATTTCCACATGTGCCTACTAGTAATGATTAAAGTTACTAAGGCCAATGATAAAAGGTCCTTTCCGTAGGTTATCTAATGCGACCGCTGTACAGAGATAAGCTGCTTGAGGTACTGTAATTGCACCAGTACAGAGGCCGTATTAGACCTCTTGAAAGTACCTGTTTGATCATGGTAATCTGGTGTGAGCCTAATATTATCCATTGACCTATAATTGATTGGTATCGCGTTGGACATTGTGAGAATTGGTGTGGACTGTATGAGGTTGGATTACTGAAATTTAATGCGTGATTAAATTTAACAAATAATTCAAAATATCGATTATCCTATATATTATTTCTAAAAGGTGTTTTTTTTGTCGGTACGCCATAACTTAGTCAATTCTTCATAAAATCCAATGATTGACTACTCATTTTGAAGATATGTAAGTAAGCTTTTTTTTTTTTTTGGATTGTATCCATGATAATTAGAAAGAATACTAAATTACCTACAAAACAAAAAAATAATCGTAAAATTCCGACAATTATTATTAAGATCAGACAATCATAACAAAGATACAGTCCATTAGTTTTGGCATACTCAATAATGTCTTCCTGTTTAAAGATATTACATTTAGGAGTAGAATAGTCTACGACACTTTTTTTTTCTGGCTTTTATATTAACTTTATTATTTCTTAAAGACATTTGGTTGTTCTTACATTGCATTTATTTTTAATAGTTTAGAATACGCTATGATCGGGGCATTATTTTGTCTTTATTACTTTTATTATCTTTCCAGTCAGCGTTTAAAAATAGGTCCTAGCAAAGCAATTTGTATAAATATTTCGGTCTATTATGTTTAATGGAATATTGTAATCGACTAAGGAAAAAATATTAATTCCTTCCTTACATAATACATAGTAACTACTTATGTCCATATTGTTTTAATATTTCTTCACTAAACAAATTTATATGCGAATTTTTCGCACGTGCCAACTAGTATTGCATATTGTGAATACAAACAAAAGAAATGAAATTTGTGCATTTGTACAATTTTGTTGTTATTAAATGATGAAATAAATATTTCTATTAAAGCTTTGTCATATGGCATTGCCATGTTGGAAGCTATATTGCTTCTGATTAAAATTGCATTGTTAATTTGGACTCACTTGTTGTTTGAATTGAGCTTCTTTTCTTAGACACCTCTTCTTTCTCCACCTCTTGGGGGGGGGGAGTTTAGCAACTTATTTTCTTTGTTTTTTTTTATTTCAGGTGAAGTTATTTTATTCTTATTTATTGTATATATATTGTTTTTCTGTATAATTTGTTTTATTTATTGTACATAGAGTGTAAATGTGATCTCTGAACACTATTATAAATGTCCTTGAGACAGAATGTAATATTTTTCAATAAATAAGTCAAATAATAAAAAATTTTGGTGAAAATAAATGAAAGAGTGCACACTTCACCAAATGACTTGAATTAACTGTGCAGGAAAAGTTGTCTTCAAAATGAAGGAAAATAAAATGGTGGTGAGGTCCAGAATTATATGGATTTTTTTTTGTTTCTCAGGGGTCGATCCCTGATAGTCCGTGGTACAGACCCATTTTATCGAATTATTAACACCCGGCTGAAACTTGGTAAATAGTTTCATCTCATTGTAACTTACAAATATTTTATTTACGAAAATGTTTGAAATTGGGGCGTTTTCAATCTGGAGGTCGGCAAACTTTGTCTATTTAATTGGGTGTTAAAAACCCGTTAATACCCAATTGCTTTCTGATTTAATCGTAAGACAACTTGAGCATAAAGTCGAGATAAAAACGTAGCCTTCAAAAATATTGAGCCGTTTGGGCTATGTAACCTCGTTATTTTGACAATTCGGGGGTGTAGGTCAAGCGAAACGGTTCAACATTTTTCAGGGCCAACTTTTTTTCCAACTTTGTGCTCAAGTTAGCTTACGATTCAAGTTGAAAGCAAATGGGTTTTTTAGAGTTTTTAGTTCCTAATTAAATTGAAGAAGTTTGCCGATCTCCAGATTGAAAACCCAATTCCGAGAACTTTGAAAAATAAAATATTTGTCGGTTACGATGAGATAAAGCTATTTACGAAGTTCTAGCCGGATGATAATAATTTGATAAAAAGGTGTCTGTACCACGGACTATGAATATTCCTTTTTGTCATTAACCTTAGTAAATTTAAATTCCCTTCCGTCATTGACCTAACTTAATTTAATCACTGTTTTCTCCATAAAAATTTGGAAAATTTTATTTTTTTTAAATAAATAAGAAAAATGTATATCCCAGATCGTGGAAAAATAAGAAATAAAAACTTTGCAACATTTAAATTGTAGTAAGTTTTGCTGAAAACGAGTCTACTTTTAGGCGATAGGATAAAAAAAAAAATCATCATTTTATTGCACATTTTAAGGTGAATATCAAGTTTTCACTTAATATATCTCAACTTATTTTATATTTATCTAAAACTTATTAAAGAAGGACGTTTTTCTAAAAGTTGGGTAATTATGATATGAATTAATGATGTTAAAAAAAAATCGCGCATAATTTATGATTTTTTTTTTTTTTAAACATAACTTTATAAAAACATAATTACTTAAATCAAATGTTTCTTTAGTTATCACATTCAAAAAAAAAAAAAAAAAAAAAAAAACATGACTTTCTATAAAAAACACAAAACTTAGATTTTCTAATTATCTTCTGCTGAAAATTGGCACATTGTTTATATGAACTTTTTTGTAGCTCTTGAGATCTGACATCACTCCTATAAAAATTTCTCTCAGCTTACGAGACACTTTTGAACATTAATAAATATTTTAATATACAATTAATAAACTAACAAAGATAAAAGAGTAAACGAAAAACGTTATAATAATAAAGTGAATAAATAGTTTTGACTTGAGTTGTTTATTTATTATTTAGAATGATTTATTTGTTTATTTTAAAAAGTTTCGATAGAGCTGAATTTTTTATTGCCGATAGTTTTTTCAGTTATTTTGGAAGTAGAACTTTTTCCAAGCAAATTTTTCGATATAAGTTTTCATAAAACTTTTATTTAAAAGTTCCGTTCGAGCAATTCATTTATCTGAGAACTAAATCTAAAAAATGGTAATTGTAAAAGGTATTTTTAGCTACTCAAACGAACAAAATATTATATCCTATTCGTACGATTCTTTAAATATGATTTTCCCCTCAATATTTATCGAAACTTTTTTTGAAGGTCTAAAATTAATAAAACTTATACACTTATGATAAATCTAAATTTTTATTACGAAAACGTCTGGAGTAAAACTTTTATTTTAAACAGAGTTCCTTCGAAACTTTTACAATTTTACTTTAAAAAGTTTTAACTCCTGATTTATTTAATCAACAGTGTTAAGATATACATTTTTTTTTTATATTAGTATTAAATGTTATCATTATTTGTAATGACTAACAGTTAATAATAGCAATACTTTTTATTTTAAAAATGGCATACGAATAATTCGAACCTTTACTGTGCCTTTTAAAATAAGTAAAACTCTTAAACATTTTTTATTAAGACGTCGATACTTCGCATTGCTCTGAAGTAATTATTATAAATATCAAATAAAATTGAGAACGGTTCAGTAACACCCAAGGGATCGTTGAACTTCTAAATTATAGATGCGACCTCAAAGTTTTTTCGTTCACCTTCGAATAATAAAGTTCACGAGTGAAGTAATTACGAAAAGCTATATTTTTAACCTATACTGTTTAATTCAAAAATATAAATGACAGCGATAATAAAAATATTATGGACAAAATTAAATCACAATGAAATACATTATTACCTGGGCCGAAGTGGATAACTGCTGAGCCATTTCTGAACTTCACATGACACAACTGACAAGAAATGTTTGAATTTCTTATCAAATCTTGTCATACCAACTGATTTCTTTATTTACCTTGGCCATGTAGGCGTGGCTTCTGATTCAATGTTCTCTTGTTTAAAACTATGTCTGTTACGACTGTAGTACGTCTTAATTATCGATTGTTCTGTCAATTGAGTGTAAACGTTCATTATTTCAAGTTGTACTGATTAATATCCTGAAATATAATTGTCGAAACAGTCATATTTACAATAGATAAGATTACCATTCGAACACGAGATTTGTAAAATTAATTCTGATAAATAATGTTTTGAGATAATATTCTCTGCCTTGTAATATTTAGATGGCTGTGAAGTAATACTTTGTATCTGCCAAAAAACAAATTTACAGTGGGGCATAAAATAACTTTAAAACGCAATTAAAAACCTCCAAATTGTCCATTTTTTTATGTTTTTCGAAACTCTATGAATCTTCTTCTTTTTTGATAATTACTAAGTCCAATATCTCAATACAAGCTTTCAACTAGCACCTCTCCCCTCTCTCCCCCCTCCCCGCCCCCACTCTTCCCCAAATCAAATAAGGATCCAAAACATTACTATAAAAATATAATAGAATTATATTGTAATGACAGATTTTAAAAATTTTATGAAGCGGTGCATGGTAGTTAGATGATAAAATTTAAAAAAAAATTATAAAATAGAATTTGGACTATTTATATTATTGATAGTTGTTAAATTAATAAGTGTCTAATAAGGATGTATTTTGAACTGTAAAAACTAAATTAACGTCGAATAAATAATACAGTATGTAAAAACTGTGTACATTTGGTGACCTTTGGCCTAATATTTTATAAAAACCTTATGAGAAAATGGCATCAAACCTGAATGATATGACTAGAAAAAATAAAAATATATATTTCTAATTATTCTTCCTTCTACTAAACTAAACTGTTAAAATATTGTTTATTAAACTTCATAATAAGAGGACGGTTTGTTAATAATTAGTGAAAAGAAGTTTTTTTTTAAAAAAAGTCCTTCATGCATTTGATAAATTACCTTCTAAATCAATTTAATTCAAACAAATCTAAATCAAAGAGTTATATACTTTAGTAATTAGACAAATTAATTTTTGTTAATTTTAAATTGTCTTCTCAATTATATTTTCTAAAAACAAAAATTAATAATTTTTTTTTAAATGGCTCTTGGCAAACTTCTACGATATATTAAATGATTTCTAAGAATCGGAATCAAAGTGGAAATTATTTTAAAAAATTAAAATAAAATTTATATATTTTTCCTCATTATTTCTTTTGTTGGAAACTTTTTTTCTTATTAGATGAAGTTGGCTATTTTAACTTCCTTGTGGCTTATATATTTTTTTATTTACCACATTTCTTTAAATTCCATTTTACCATCTTCAGAAACATATTCACTATTGTTAGGGCCTTCTCTGGATTCAAGCAATAGTGATTAATACAACAAAAAAAAAGGTAAAACTGTACTTTAAACAACAGTAATTTGAAAAAATAAAATGTATTAATAATTGCTTGAATTGTATAGAAGGAGTTAACAATAGTGAATATTTTTCTGATGATTGTAAAACATTTCTGTAAAGGTTAAACAATGACAAGAAATGTAATAAATAGAAATTAATACAAGTCATGAAGGAATTTATAATTGCTAACTCCACTTGTATATTTTTCTTTTTTTTTTTTTTTTTTTTTGTTCTCCTCCTCCCAGAAACATCTTAATCATAATAAATTATTATGATTTCTATTTAATATTTTTAATGGATAATAGAGCAATTTATTATTTTCTTCAGATGAATTTATTGGAGCCCCAAATAATTTAAATGATTCATTTAAAATAGAAAGTAGATAAAATAAATAATTTAAAACAAATGATTATTGAAATTAAAGAAACTCACTTTAGTTAACATGTTAAAAATCATAGAGCATTAAATTATCGAAAAGAAAAGAACAAATCAGTTTGAAAAATTTTAGTAACTCAATGGTAACTGCCTTAATTTATTATTATTATAATTTTTTACAATAGTTATTAAACACTAATTTTAATTGTATTCATGCTCAAATACTTATAAATAGAAAATAAAGTTTTTTTCTAATTAAGTTTTTTTTTACATTAGAAAGGTTTACAAAAAAAATATATTAATCGATATTTCATTATTTTAATTGATTTTTTTGAATAGGAAGTTCTATACTGTGAATTCACTTCAAAATTGTATCTTTTGTAATTTATAAACAAATCTATTAGCTAGCCTCCTCATTGGATCAAGATCTTTCATTGAATTTTGAGAGATAATAACAGCATTGAAGACAGGAATCCACAACCTGTGTACAAATCTTTGAGAAAAAGTTTATTATGTCCCCAAGGAAATATAGCAAAGAGTCTAGTAACTCTATATTTTTCACAATTTTGAGTTCTTGCTCTCCGGAGAGTTTATCTTATATATTATTCTATATTATATTTATTTTCTTATCTTCAGAAAAAAAAATGTAACATCCCACAGACATTATTGACTGATTACTTTTATAAAATAACTTTTCCAATACAAAAAATTTAGCAAAACACCATTTTGTGGGTGATTCATAAAAGCCATAACAGAGATCAATTAAATCTGTTCTTATTTATTAAAAAACTTATTTAAGGATATTTACGACTATATTATGAAATAAAACTAAATCTCGTCTTTGATTGATAGAGAGATTATTTTTTGGAGAAAAAATATTCATAGTATTCTTTTCAATTTCATTTACTTTATTTACAACATTCCTCAATTTCAACATTATTTATCAGTAAGTGTATAAAGATGATACAAACGCTTTTATAAATAAAAAATAGTTAATATAAGTACAAAATTTTCTGCTTTTACTGTGAGAAAATTCATCTTAATCAAAGTACTTAGTAATCTCATTTTATCAACTGTTGTTTAATGACTTTTTGCAATAAACACACAATATATTGTACTCAATTGAAAATAACATTTAAGGATTGGATGAGGCTTAGGTGTTATTAAAGGATGAGATAGGTTATGATGGAAAGTTAATCCAATTAAAATAAATCATTGGTAGAATCACTGATTACAGCCTCTATAGCAAGTAATTAAAGTAATTAATAGCATTAAATAAAATCCATGGTAAGGATAAATATTACTTAGAACCTGCTTTTTTGAAATAAACAAAACACATTTTTTTTTTTAAATCATGATAATCTAGCACACAAAAAAAACAAAATTTAACAATACAGATAAAAGCTGACTAATAAAATTAATTTTTAAAAAATGGGAATTTTAAATATTTAATTTACTTAAGTGCTCATTCTAAACATAGATTATTTGATTGTATATATTTTAATATTTAAACCACCTTAGAGATTTTCAATAAGTAAACAAAATTTAAAATAAATAATGTTTATTAAATCACATTAATAAACAATCATAAATAAAACGATAACTTGTTAAGAACTATGATTTGCATCAAAATTCTTTGATTTGTTGTAAGATACAATCTCCCGGCTTATCGATTCAATTTCAAGTGCAAGCTTCTTGTCATTCAGTCCATACTGTAAATTAATATTTTAATTAAATCTGCAATTCTATTATATATATTCTATTATATATAATAGAATAATATTATATATATATATATATATATATATATATATATTATACATATATTATATATATAATAATATTATTTATACATATATTATATATATAATAATATTATTTATACATATATTATATATGTATAATATTATATATTATATATATTCTATTATATATAAATACGGTCACTAACTGGGGAAATTAAATGCTATAAACGGTGATAATTTATGTAAAAACTATTTTTCTTTTACTTTGGTATTGGATATATTCTAAATATAGTAAATTTTTGTAACAGATAATAGCACATCCTCACTTTCTCAAGTTGGCAGTTGTGCTGGTATCAACCTGTACCCAATAATTAATGAACGATGGTATAATGTTAATAGATTCAAAGTGACGATGATAGGTTAGTTTTAAATTGTGACACTATCGAAGCAGCAAAATGATTAATTCGTGTATTTAGGAAAATAACATGTTTATAATTTTATATTAACTGTTTATTTCTCTCCATTTTTCAGTCTGAAATATTATAATGTAATAAATATTTTCCTATATTGAAGTTATTTTTAAACCACTTTTTACTTTAACATAACTATTGTAACATCTCTCTTATATTTTACAAATAATAATAATAATAATATAACCTCAGAAGATCACTTTATACTCTTAGGATACTTCCAAAAGAAATAAGAGGTTGTTAAATAAAAAATAAAATTATAACAGTATTAATATATTTATTTATCTCAGGTGTGAGTTACTGACAATCATATCAACTCAGACAAACTATTATTAATTACATTATTTATATTAAAATTAAACACTGATTTAAAATTTAAAAATAAAGTCAAGTATGAATTGACAAGCTAACCTTTTTTCTACGTACAATGTTTCTTCCTTTGTGGCACTGAACTCATTTGTTTTCACACATTTTCTTATGTTCTGCCAAACACATATCACAAAATGGTAACACTATTCTTCCACTCAACTCAAGCTCTCTGGAAAATCCTCTCTCTTACAATTCCAAACAACTATTCTCCCTGCCAAACCAGATCTTCTAAGATGGTAAAACTATTACTGGGTTTTACCCACTGGAGCCAGGATAGGATATCTTCTCTTAACCTCTCTTCACTGCAGTCACACAACAACTGTTTGCCAAAACAAAAACCTTTGTCCCTCTCCTCTTTGGGATTTTCCTTCTTGGGAAATTACAGAGTAGCCATTTTCTTTTCCCTGCACTAGTAGAACTAGATTAGCTTGCCTTTTAATTGTTAAACATTAATTTATTACATCATTTTTACCCACTTCCAATAAAGGTGTATATTACACTACATATGAAATATATAGTAAGGGATGGTATTGCGATCGTGAAAATTTTCGAATCTAGATTTTTCAACAGAAATACGTTTTGAAGTCTCCTGAGTTTAATTTTTTTTACTTGGAATAATTAAGCATTTCACATTAATCTTTGATATAAAAAATAGTACTTCTCTTCTTCTTCTTAATTGTTTCCTCTTCTATGGCTGAGCGGTGTGAGGAGTCTTCTTGTAAAGCCGAATCCACAACTCTCGATCCTAAGCCAACTGTCACCTCCTCCTCCAGTCAATATCCCTTCTGTCAAAGGCCTCCTTGACACTGACACCTCCTAGGTCTTCCTGGGTCTTCCCTGAGGTCTTCTTCCATCCACTTTACTTTCCAATGCTATCCTGGCCATTCGATTCTCTGGCATTCGACAGACATGACCAAACCATCTCAAACTATTTTCCTCCATCATGGTTTCGGCTGATCTTACGTTTAGATTTTTCGGTATTATGGAGTTTCTTATGCGATCTCTCTTTGTTTGTCCTTTGAACCTGCACAGGAATCGCATCTCCATGGTCTGAATCTGACAGATGTGTTTTGTGGTGAGGGTCCATGACTCGCTGGAGTAGGACATTATCGGGAGGAAAGTATTTTTGTAAACGGTCGTTTTGGTCTCTTTACTCACTTCTCTCTTGTTTAAGAATCCTTTCTTGATGGCGTTGAAGCACCTTCCTGCAGCCTTCACTCTTTCCTTTATTTCTCCGTCGATCCATCCATGTTCATTGATGTGGGCACTGAGATATTTAAAATGTTTCACTTGTTCCAATGGGACTCCAACTCAAGTGCACTATTCTGTCTCATCTTCCTTGTTTTCTGCCTATTCTCATAGTTTTGGTTCACATTTATTTGCATATTTATCTTATTTAATTCTTCCTGAAGAATGCGGAGGTTGAATTGCAGGTTTCGTTCATTGCTTCCGAAAACCACCAAATCGTCTGCGTTAGCGAACATAGAGAAAATAGGCTGTAGATTTCTGTATCCCATTTGAAATGATCTTATATTTTGATTTGCTATTTTTATTGCATTGCCTAGCACTAGTGTAAATAGCAGAGGACTTGAACTGCACCCTTGTCTAATACCTTGATTACTTGTGAACTCTTACGATAAAAAATAGTTAAATATAGAATATAAAAGAATTTGATCATTAACTAAAGGAGAAGTAAGAGATCATAACAGATAATAGTTATAATGGAGAAATCAAAGGAATACGAGGGCACCCGAGCTCACCCGAAAGATTAGGACATGTTTCCATGCATAACATGAGCTTAATATAATACAGACTCCGATAACATTATGTACATATAAATGTATGGTTTTCAAAAAATACTATTGTTGGTATTATTTAATATTTAATTGCATAAATTACAGTGATATAAAAATTAAAATTTGTATACTTAAGGATATTTAAACAAATAAAAATACCCACAATGAAATGTAAATAAATATAATGTCTATAATTTTTACTTTCACTTCCCCTTGGTCTAAAAATATTTATTTCTGCTAAGAAGAGGGTGGGAGGTGAAAGACGTGTGATGTGCGCACTGGATTTTTATGATCACTGGTAAAAGCTATAGTTTCCATGATTTTTTGAAACACTACTTGAAACTTAAATTTAAAAAAGTGTTGAAACAAACAAAAAATACTCACTCGTTTTGCTTCTCGAAAGCAATGAAGAAATTGATCTTCTTTCAATTTATACAAAGAAATAAGAGCTAGATACCCCCAAGCTGTGGCCAGAGTTGTATCAAGCATATTGGCTTCTTTTAATGCAAGCTCAGCATCCTCTATTTTTCCTTCCTACAGAAAAATCAAACACACTTTAGTTGTAAAACCTCCCTCTTCGAATTTAGTTAAAATATTAAGCTAGATATCTTAACATTTTAACTAAATTAATTAAGAGCAGGCCGTCTCAGATGGGCAGGTCATGTAGCCAGAATGAGAGACATGATCCCAAAGATGTTAGTTGAAATCCTGCATGGAGTGCGATGAGTAGGAAGACCAAAGTTGAGATGGAGGGACAGCGTGGACAAAGAAGCTGGGAGTTCGAGATTGGATGGTGGCAGCACAAAGCAGGGACACCTGGCGGATGATGTTGGCGGAAGCCATGACTCGCTAAGCGGGTCGTAGAGCAAGTATAGATAGATAGATCACTTACAATAAACCAGAGATTGAATTTTAATACAACAATCAATTCCCTTTTTTCATATAGAATTTATTCATGTTTTATATGCGAGGATAAGCCCAAGAAGCAAATACATTTTTTTACCACAAAAATTATTTTTATTTATTTTACTTTGGAGAGAAAGAAACAAAAGTCTAGAATATAAAAGAATCTATTTCAAGGGAAAAAAAATTGTTCAATGTGGGCCAAACAAATAGTATGTATGTACAACACACACACGTGCACATACACACATAATTATCTATAATGAAGAGACATAGATAGATAGATAGATAGAAAAAAAAAACTTTATTCTAGGACTAAGTCCCTTTAGAATAACAATATTGTACAAAAGAATATAATATTACTGGCCTAAAAGTTTGAAACAATAAATAAAATTGATAAAATAAACTAAAAAGTAAAGAAAACCTTAGGTGCACAAGCTATATACAAAACAGATAAAACTATATGCAGAACATTTAAAACTATGAACAAAACAATTAAAACTATGTACAAAACTATATATAAGGGTTGAACAATATAAACATACACTTTGAGAAATGAAGAACGAAAAAGACATAGAATGAGTTCATTTCATAAAAAAAAACTTTGCTTGTATATATATATATATATATATATATATATATTTTTTTTTTTTTTTTTTTTTTTCTCTGCTGTAGTAACCCTACAGAAGAGGTGTATATTTTTTTAGAAGTGTGCATACACCATGCAAAAGCATATTATATGCATTACAGTGTTATTTAGTATATAACTATAAATATAACTTATTACAATATGTGTTGGCTAAAGATATTTAAAAAGAATGGTACTTAATTTGTATTACAAGGAGAATATTTATAGATGTTTAAATAAAATAAATAACAATAAACGATTAAATAAAGTAAATAACAGTATCAGATGAATGAACAGTACCAGAATATACTAAGACAAAATACTCTAAAACAGAGGCAGAATCAAATACAAAAATTATGCGGAGAATAAACAAATGTTACAAATTTACAATTGAGTATCAACAAAATAAAGAATAAAAGACATAAGTCTAACTTTAGAAGTATATTAAATAAAAGAGCTATGCTGGAATGTCTTATAATTTTATGCTATTAATGAATTCCTTCAACTCCTTCTTGTATTTTTTGTATAGTATGGGTTCGGGAAGAGGCCATGTGTCTCCTTGCGTCAAAGAAGATTTCAGGAAGTTGGCTCTTTTGTGTTCGTATAACTGGCAGTCGTTTAAAATGTGTATGAAAGTTTGTGGAGTCAGTCCGTCACAATTGCATGCGTATGTCGCTTTTAAGTGGAATCTGTTTAGATATTGGTTAGTCGGGCCGTGTTCAGTAAGGAATTGGGTTAGTTTATAATGGGTGCTTTTTGTTGTGTTGCAGTTTTGTAGGGTGATGTTTGGAATGTATTTATGTAATGGTCGTCCTTTGGTAGATTGTTGCCAATGTCTGTTCCACTCTTCGGTTAAATCAGTCCATAAAAGTTTTTTAACGTAAGTGAAGGGGGCTAAATTATATTCATAAGGCAGTTGAATATCACAAGCAGCTACTTTTGCCATTGTGTCAGCTTTTTCGTTTCCGCGGACGCCGCTGTGTCCCTTTACCCAAATCAGTTGTGTTTTTATGTCCAAGTTCATCAGTTCGATAAAATTGTTTCTAAGTTGAGCTGTTAGTGGGTCTTGTATTTTATTGTTTTTTATTGAGTAAATGGCTATTTTATTGTCAGTATAGATGTTGTAAATAGATTCAGTTTTGTCTTTTATATATATATATATATATATATATATATATATATATATATATATATATATATATTATTGTCAGTATAGATGTTGTAAATAGATTCAGTTTTGTCTTATATATATATATATATATATATATATATATATATATAAACAGTTAATTATAATTGAATAAAAAAAAATGTATGTATTGAAATTCCTACGTCGATAGTAGGAAATGCATGAACTATCTCTTACCAAGTATTATCATATGATTATGATTGCTACACAATATATATATAGTATTAATAGTTAGCTGGTATCTGACTGTTTTTGGAACAGGAATTGGAATAGGAGGTTTTTTGAATGTGTATAGGGAAGGGGCATGCCGAATGTTGATCGGGAGGGAATTCCAAAAGTTGACAAAGCGGGCTATAAAGGAGTTTTGGAATGAGGTAGATCTATGAGAAGGGATGTATAGGTCAGAGGGTCGAGATCTTGTAGTGAGGGAATGGATTGAGGACTTAAATTGGAGAAGATTGTAGGCATAAGAAGGACGATGATTGGTAATGATTTGATAAAGGAAAGTGCCTAGGAAATATTGTCTTCTTAAGGAGGGGAAGAGCCACCCTAACTCAGTGTAGTGGTGGGAGACATGGGAGTGTCTCGGGGTCCCAATTACAAATCTTACGAAGCTATTCATAAGTTTTTTGAGTCTATAACGGAGTTCCACCGAGAGGCCATCGTACACCACACAACTGTTGTCAAAGTGGTGAAAGATGAGAGAGGAAACTAGGAGTCTACGGGTATTTTGGGGTAGAAGATGGCGGAAGTGATGGAATAGTTTGAGGGTAGAAATTGCACGGCTGGAGATATGAGAGATATGGTGATTCCAGGAAAGGGTTTGATCTATGAAAAAGCCTAAATTTTTAACAAAGGGGTAGAAGGTAACGGGATGGTTGTTTAGATAGAGTGAGGGAAACTTGGTACAATGGAGTGAGGGAAAACATACAATGGAGATATGAAACACGAATTGATTTTTGTTTACTAAATTTTATTTACAAAAATAAAAATTAAGTTTAGGATCCATAGAACAACAATAGCTATCTACGTCAGCAACTATGTATTCTTCAATCATAAATTTAATTATTATAATTACATTACCATAAATAGAGATATTCCAAGGCCAAGCCATCCCATGGGAGTACCCTGTTGTTTCACGGCTCTTAAAAACATTTGTTTTGCAAATTTAGCTTGTTCATGCTCCAAGAAAAAGAAACCACATCTGAAGACATATAATTCGAATTTTAAGAAATAAATCAGCTAAGATAAAGTAGATTGAGTACTAAAATTAAGTACAAAATACTACTGGATTTTCAAGTTTACTTAAGTCCATATCTTTTAAAGCAATAAACCATGATATTACATATCTAATGCAGTTGTTGAAATCAAACTTTTATATAAAAACTTTTAGAATATTGCTAATGATGTGCAAAAAGTGATATTTTGTAGTCTACAGGAGCTATAAGTAGTCTGCTACTGTGAAAAACAGCATAGGGAGATATAATATGCAATTATACCAATAAATAATAAAGAAATAATCAGTTGTTAACGCTCTCCTGTAAAACATGCAATTTTTACATATGACCTTTTTTACTAATAGTAGCGATAAGGTATTTACATTTTTATAAATATATTCTATACACAAAGTAAAAATACACCATATAATAAAAATAAACAAACTTCACTATTCAGCGAAAACTCTAAAGGTCTAAGTTTAATTTAACTTTATAGGGACTAGATAAATTGTAGGACAGTAAGAAATCAATGTCACTTTTAAATACCTCTTTCGGTTCCATTTTATGTAAAAAGGTAACTTTCAATAAATACAATATTGAAAATTCTTATTTAATTATTTTTCACCTCTGGTGCAAACATCTACAAAGTACCTCTCTAACTTTATTTTTTCCAATACCATCTGATAGCTATTATAGGGTACCTCTTACATGCTACTCTTAGGAGCAAGTACTATGTAATTAAATAGAAATATAAGAGCGTTAACTATTAAAATATAATAAAATTTTAACAATATGTTTATGAGAATCATTTTTTTCTAATCTATGTATTGTAGTTATTTTTGGTTATAAGAAATTGTTATATACATGATTTATATATATATATATATATATATATATATATATATATATATATATATATATATATATATATATATATATATATAAATCATGTATATAACAATTTCTTATAACCAAAAATAACTACAATAAATTGGTACCCAACTAATGTTTTACAATTGACTAATTCAGAGAATTCCCTCTTCTAACAGAATAATGCAAAGCATTATAAAAAGAACAATAATCATAAAATTATTCTTTAAAATTTAATTAAAGAATATTTTAAAAAGTAAATGTTATTTTTATCATTATAAACTTCATATTTTGGAAATCTAAGCTTTTAGTCCGTGGTACAGATAGTTTCATTCAACTTCGTAAATAGTTTCATCTCATCGTAAGTTACAAATATTTTATTTTTGAAAATTCTCAGGATTGGGGCATTTTCAATCTGGAGATCGTCAAACATTCTTTATTTAATTAGGTAATAAAAACTCGTAAATACCCATTTGTTTTCCACTGGAATCGTAAGATAACTTGAGCACAAAATCATGAAAAAAGGTGACCTTCAAAATTATTAAGCCGTTTGGCATGACCTACACCCCCAAAGTAACGAAGTTATATAGGCCAAATGGCACAATATTTTTGTAGGCCACCTTTTTTTTTATTATTGATTTTGTGATCAAATTAACTTAGGACCCAAGTGGAATGTTAATAGGTATTTACGAGTTTTTAGTATCTGATTATATAGACAAAGTTTGCCGAACTCCAGATTGAAAACCACCGCAATTCCAAGCATTTTCGTAAATAAAATATTCGTAGGTTACAATGAGATGAAGCCATTTATGAAGTTTCAGCCGGATGTTAATAATTTGATAAAAATGAGTCTGTACTTCAGACTATTTTTCTTACTAATGCATACCTTATATAAGTCATATGTTCATATAAGTCTGTTCTTTTTTTTGTGAACGCTTGTAGATACATCTGAACAGCACATTTTTTCAATCCCATCATCCAGCAGTTATGACCAAGCAATATCCATATCCTTGGATCCTGTCCAAACAACCATGACTAAAGAACAACTCCGGAAATTTCGATAAAATTCCATAAATACGGTTTTTATAGACAAACTGATAATTCCTTACAGATATTAGCTCTTCTTCAGTGAGGGAAAGAGATTAAAGAAATATCAGTAGTTTAGAATGTTGAAAGAGTTTTTTTTTTTTTTTTTTTTTTTTTTTTTTTTTTTTTTTTTTTTTTTTTTTTTTTTTTTTGAAAATAAGAATTAAAAAAAAGTAATTTTTTAAAAAATATTAATTTTTAAATAATGGTGTAGAGATGATTGACCGTGATTATGATATGAGAAGGAGTTGGTCGAAGGTGTAGTCAATTAAATACTATAAACTACAATAGTATTTTATTAGTTATGCCGACGTTTCAATCCACTTTGCAGGTCTTAATAAATAGAGGGCGGGGTGGCCGAATAGGCTAAAGCGTGTGTAACAGCACCGCTAGTTTCCTGGCAACCGGATAACAGAGATTTGAGATGATATAAAAAGTACGAGTTCGCGTCCCGGTGCCGGAGGGGATTTTAAATTTCCCCGCCCTCACCCCCCGGCCCGGGAAAATTCCGTATAGCCTAAAAGGCGAGGTAGGGAAGAACAAAAAAGGTCTTAATAAATAAATAGTATTTATTTAATATTAGTTAAATAGTATTTATTTCACCACACCCCGACTTTTTTTATAAAATTCCTTCTCATAATTTTTAAATAATTTGTGGTTGCATTGAATTCTTCTCTTCTAGATTTGCATCATTGAAACATTTAGCAATCAAGAAGCAATTAGAACAGATACAATATACATTTTGCTGTGATTTACACACATTTGCAAAGAAAAATCTTTCAATTTTGTATAGTTTTGCCATAATTCCTTAACGTGACATTCAGTGTCTCGAGTAAGGCACTGAGCTTCTATTCTCAAGGACCCAAGTTCAAGTCCGGCTAATGAAGATAATCATTTTGTTTCACCGGTCATGAATCAACATTGAGTTCATGGAGACCCTCCTAGGGCACTCTCAGCCTCTATAAAGTGGGTACTCTTAATTAATTATTTATTAAGAGGAAAAACCTGACGGTTGAGCATGATCTTGATCCAATGACCTCCCTTTACAACCGTTGTCCTTGAAACAGCACTTTCTAACTAATTACTGAGCCCATGACCATTAATGGGTTGTAGAGATATAGTTTTTTAAAAATCAGTTCGTCAAGATTATACAATCTAGATCTAGGCCACATTCATTCTGATTGGCTCATTTGTTTAATTAATAAATTAAAATAATTAATTATAAATTAAAAATTGATTTGCTTGTTTGTTTTTTTGGTGAATCAACAATTTATTTGATACAATTCATCAGTTGAATTTCAATTAAATCACCAGAATAAATAATTATTCCTAAAAAGTACAATTTATCATATGATAGTATGTAAGGTATTATCTATAACTATTTTGATAATATATAACTAACCATATTATAATCATTCACTTCCGCAATGGCCTTAGATAGATGTTTGGCACTGTCTTCATATCTACCTTGAATATAATGGCAAACAGATAAATAATATACCCATACTAGAGTCTTGGTTCCCACTCTTTCCAACTCCTGAGCTAGGCACACTTCGGCGAACTAAAAAGATTAAAATTATTACCAATTAATTTATAACATAAATTTAATATGTGATTGAACAATGAAATAGTGTAAAACCAGATGTGATAGGGAAGAACATATCATATATGTGATAACACTTGTTCATATATGTGGAAAGAACTACAATAATATTGCATGGTTGTTCAACTGTGTTGAGTTGTTAAACCACACAGTATATCCATCGATCAACAGATAATATTAAAAAATATCAAGAGAGAATTCGATCAAACCACTGGAATACATAGCTAATATGCCAAGAACGGTTTACAGAATCAAACTTAATAGTTTATGCTAAATTCATCAGCCTATTCCACAATGAAATAGTATTAATTTAGTTTGGCATATCCCATTCATTCATATGTTGTTGTTTTTTTTAGCCTTAATTTAATTTTTTTGTCTCTAATTCCTAGTGATGACTTTTATAATAATTAGTATTTTGATTAGTTTTTCATAAGTTATATAATAATGATTATCTTTCTCCTTGTAATAATTGTTTTATTTATTGACAAATGTTATTAAATTGATACTTTTATTTGATAAGAAGTATACTAATATTAAATTTTTATCAAAGTAATAATAAATCTTAAGACTTGTTAGTGCACCAATATCCTCTTCCTTTACAAGTTTAAAAGCATTAAGGCTCAATATATTTAAATATTGATATTTTTTGATGATATATATACATATATATATATATATATATATATATATATATATATAATATATATATATATATATATATATATATATATATATATATAACTAATACTCAAACATACTTGAAAACTAACAGTACAATGTCAATATTTTCACACTTATTCCATGTTATTCTCTGTTCAATAAAAATGATACTCTATTTGATACATATTTAGTAGCAACAAGCTTTGCTGAATTACTACATGATATTTGTCTTAATCCTGTCTTATTTTCTCTCCTACTAATGTTTATCCAATAAAATCTAAAATATATATTTTTTATATCAAATCTCACATTATTGCTAGAGATCTTTTAAATCGATAATTTTAAAGCAATAAGATCATTTTTTTTTATTTAATAAAGTATGACTCTCCAACAGAGCAACAAGGAGATAAAAAAAAGGAGATAAACTTCAATGCGAGAATTACACAGCAATTTCCCTATTGGCTATAGCCTATAAAATGTTTTCACTCTGTGAGGCTCAACATATTTGCTGAGAACATACTGGAGGAATACCAGTATGGATTTAAGAAGGGGAGAGGAAGAACTGATCAGGTTTTTGTAATGAGGCGGCTAATGGGAATATAAGATTGGCCTGCATATGTTGTTCATAGATTACCTGCCAGCTTTCAATAGAGAGACAAGAAGCAAATTAATAAATGCCTGCCATGAGTTCCAAATTCCACAAAAATTAATAAGGTTATTGCAAATGACAATGATTAATAGCAATGCAAAGCTTGGAATACACACAGTTATCAAACCCAGACAATTTTTTAATTTAAGCCGTTACAAGAGTACAAGGCTCAAATTTCAATGAAGAGGTAACAGCTATCTTGCATTAAAAAAAAATTAAATATAGTCCCCTACTATCGCTATTTAATGGCTCCCAACCCATCGTGTTTTGTTTTGAAATGAGGAGTCTTATCTCACCAATGACTTACAGGTATCATTGACATTTGACTAAATGTTTGATTAAAACTATCCCAGCAGCATTGCTGATCTTAACCAAAGCTTAGCAAGAAGTGCAAAACAGATCGGAGCTTGTTCAAAAAAAGATGTTGTATATTTCTGAAGAGGGTAGAGGAACTATTGGTGCAACATGGCTAGTTATTCTCACAGAAGTCATTTAATATTTTATACATTATTATTCTATATTAAAAATTTATAATTAGATGTATTTTGTAATTAACAGGTATTACCTCATATAAATTAAATGAAAGGAAGTAAATTGCGGTTGAAATATAATTGCCAGGTTCATCCCCGATCCACGTTTTATTGTCCCAGCTCAACTGTGGTGGCTTTATAGAAGATGATATTTTAAAATCATAATTTATTTTTGTGCCTGTAAAAAGATAAGTACATAATTAAAGATGCCAAAATGTAGAATTTTATAAATTTAAATGAATAAATGATTTGAGGATTAAATAACAAAGCTAATGATAATCCTTGGATATATATGAAATGGTTACAGTCCAGCAGAAATTATAAAAGTGAACTGTGTTTAATATAAAAGCATAATTTGTTAAATATATGACTTATTTATATTTAACCAACTGAAAAAAAATTATAAGCTGTCTTTTGATATCTCCTCTGTCTATCTCTGATATGCATACAATTTGATGGGCCTTCCGAATTCAAGAGGTACCCAGGAACCAAACCTGTCTAGCCCAATGATCAACAAATTCTGGCACATGAGCCACATGTTCTTTGGGTCCTTGAATGTGTGCCATCCACAGAGCACTGCACTCACACCTCTTTTATTGCTTGTCACAAGGAACAAACAGTTCTTATGAGCAATTGAAAAAAAAAAATCATGTTTACCAAACGAATGAACAAAATGAGTTATAGTATAACATCCAATTCTTTTTCATTTTGGTTCCTTTTTTATTTAATAATAAGTAAAAATTGCAGTTTTGACAAGAATGAAATTGTTCCTGAATTTACCTGGTAATTCGTATTTGAAATATAGATTATTTTTTCAATTTATTAATATCATTCTATATTAATTGAGCAAGACTCCTTAGTCTCTGAAAGGAAAATTCTTCAAAGAATATTTCAAGAATTGATGGAAACTGGAGCAGGTAGACAAACATTGAAATTTACTCAATTTTCAATAATAAGAATTGTCAACACCACAGCGTTAATTTATTGTATTTTTTATTTTCAATAATATTTGGTTAATTGTTATTTTAGTTTGTCTCATAAAATGAAACCAATTAATAATTATTATATGTTCTTAGGCCCATAGCTTATTTTGTTTATATTCAATAGGTCAATAGTTTATACATAAATTGTTATCGATTGTAGCCCTAGCTATAAACAAGTGCTAGTTTCAAGTCCTAAGGTGGTAGAATTGACAATAGACAGTCTGACTATAAGTCCATTATTGAGCTGAGTACTGCCAACTTCAATACTTCCCACTGCAGTTCTACTGTGAAGAGACGTAATTTTCTATGCCGCTGCCCATTTGCAGTTTTAATTATATGAGCGCTCATATTGAACCTACATTCAGTCGCTGAAGAAGGATTGGAGTGGTTGGTCCATATCTACGGCCATCACCTGCTTGCGACCAAGTAAAGTTGTTCAATTTTTATTTTTTGTTTTCGTTTAGTTTTGTATAATTCCTACAATATAGGTTAATATATATTTGTTAATTATTCCATAATCAAACATTGAACTATTTTATAAGATATTTCATAATTATTATTGACAATGAAGGAAGGAGATGGTCCGGGGTGGCGGTCATAAATAGGCTAAATAGTGGCAAAACTATTTTATTAAAAGCCAACATTTCGACCCGACTTTGCAGGTCTTCTTCAGGAAGGTGTGTTCAGCTAGGAGTTTCAGATAGAACTTCCAGTTAATTATTATAACTGGAAGTTTATGAAACTCCATGGAGCTTAACAAGAATAAAGATTGGAAGACTGAGATGAGCAGGCCACGTGACTAGGAGGGAGGCCAAAGCAATACTTAAGATGGTCTTCACTGAAACTCTCTACGGCGTTAGAAAAAGGAAAAGACCAAAACTAAGACGGTCAAATGGTGTGGCAAGAGATGCAAGCGAGTCAGGACCTGGATGATGGTCACACTGAGCAGAGACGACTGGAGGAAGTTAGTAAAGGAAGCCAAGACTTCTCATTGAGTTGTAGCGCTAAAATAGATAAATAGAAATATTCTACATAAATATTATTTTTCAAAATATAATTTTCTATTATGCATCAGGAATCACACACATTATTTTAAATAAGTTATTTAAGATGGCCATATTAATTATTTACGTCAAACAAGTGAAATAAATACTTAAAATGTTTATTATAATTTTTCTTATTACATATCTAATATTTATATATTATTTCTAAAAGGTATATTATTTTGTCGCAACTCCATAACTTTGTCAATTCTTCATCAAATCCAATGATTGAGCCTTCATTTTAAAGATCTTCCTCTCCTTCAGATGGGAAAAATTGTCATATTTCTCTCAAATTTAAGGAAAAAACAGTTAAAATGAAAAAGAAAATTTATTTGCGAATAACTCAAAAAGTATGCATTTTTTTCTAGACTGTACCCCATAATTATTAGAAAATTTACTAAATTACCAACAAAACCAAAAAAAAACATAAAATTCGGATGATTATTAATAAAGGTACAGTCGATTATATGTTAGAGATCGATATCGATTATATTTTTCCTTACTGATAAATAATTTATTATTTCCTATAGAACATATAATCAATTGTTATTCGTACAAATATTTTAGTCAATTATGTGAAATGAAATACTGTAATCAACAAAGGAAATCACAATTAATTCCTCCTCAGATAATAAATAGGGTCTACTTATATCCATATTATTTTGCCATTCATCCACTTGACAATATATTCTGCAAATTATTCGTACGAGCCAACTAGTTTATTGAATTTGTAAAGGAACTGTGATCTGTTATTTTATTATGAGAAGTGAAACAAAAAATAGAATAAAAATGAACAGCAGTGGCACAAATGATGAATGTGATACTGAAACAAAGACAACTGTTGTTAGTTATGAAGGTATTGATATTTAGAGAGGATGAACGGAAAGGAAATAGATGATACAAGTATAAAAGAAGAATATGGATTGAAGAATGGTCAGCCTGAGGGAACATAGCTCAATAAGAATGAAGAAGTTTTCAGCAGAAGTTTACTTAATAGTGCCTTAATTAAGTAATAAAAAGAAACCTATCTATATGGTTAAACTTAAAAAAAAAAATGGTTCAAAACAAATTTCAATTGTTGCAATGTTAATATCAGGCATATTTGATTGATGAGTTTGTCAATCACTGGTCTAGCTGATGGAGACACCAAGTCTTCCCTTCATTCTTCAATCATTTTCCAAACTGTGTTTTAACTCTTTAGTTGGGCAGAGCCTGAATCAAAGTCAGGTCTAGTGTGCTGACCCCATTATCGCAGGATTTATTCACTGAATTGCTCCCGTCTTTTTACACTTTTCACATTAATTTTTTTTTTTTTTTTTTTACTGCCTTATACATTTTTCTTTAATATGGTGTTAACTTTCTTACTTTAATAATTTTCTGACATCATTTTTACATTATACTGTAACATTTACATTAGTTTTTGATATATTCTAATATTATTTTTGGTACATATAGTGTCATTATTACTTTCCTACCTATACAAGGTAAGGAAAGCATTGCAATCGGGTCAAATTTCCGACATGCGGCTTTCGACGGATCTATCCGTTTCAGAGCCTCCTGAGTCCGAAAAACACATTTTTAGCCATTGGTCTATCTGTCTGTGTCATGATTTTCCCAGGAACTACTGAACCGATTTCAGAGCCCCCTGAGTCCGAAAAACACATTTTTAGCCATTGGTCTATCTGTCTGTGCCATGATTTTCCCAGGAACTACTGAACCGATTTCAGAGCCCCCTGAGTCCGAAAAACACATTTTTAGCCATTGGTCTATCTGTCTGTGTCATGATTTTCCCAGGAACTACTGAACCGATTTCAGAGCCCCCTGAGTCCGAAAAATACACCGTTTAGCCTGTCGTTTGAAAGGTAATGAAATTCCCTACAAAGCCATATAAAAATCGTTCATTTTGGACAACTATTAACAAAGTTACAGCTATTAAATTTCCAATGTAAGATTACGGTTTCATATCCTGGTGTCAGAAAGGGGTAAATGAGAGAATAAAGATGACTAAGTGAAAGTAAGAAAATCTGTTGCCCGCATCACATAATCTCTACTTTTAACAGAAATTATTGTTTCACAATACTAAGCTATGGCAAAAAGTTTTTGATCATCAATATTAGGAAGTATTGAAATTTGTACACTGATCTACCTTAAGCCGGTTTACATTGCTTTAGTTTATCAAATTAATCATACTCAAATCTTATGTTTGATCAATTTTTAGGAAAATGTATCTAGTTCAATTATTTCTGTTTCTTCATGAACATATGTAAAGATATAAAAACTTTTCTGAAATATGTAGGAAAGTCGTGTGAGTGGACACACCAGATATTTTTTTTATTCTGATTTGAATTTTTTTTATTAACCTTTTTTATTTTTAAGCAATTTTTGATAAGGAAAAATTTTAAAAAATTTTACATGACTTTTATTACAACAGTTCTACTTTAAAAAAAAAATTAAAGATTTAAAAAAAAATGTAAAACATTCTTAGTTTTCGTACTTCAACACACTGCCAAATACTGTTATTTTTAGAGCCAAACTGTGTTCAAAAAGACTAGAAAAGATGAAAAAGGGATGGAAGCAGATATACCCGCGACTAAATAATATATCTCACGCTGTAAAGTGGTTTCAGCAACAACCTATGACTTACGGGGTACCCGGTAGAGAACTCTATAACGAGCTGGAGTATTGTTTTTGTACAAAAATAAGATAAAATGCTGAAGCTGATGTATTGGCTCTGTGTACCAGGGCGCAATTGTGTCAAGACCTGCCCGAGCCATTATATTGGCTTTGCGCATCTAAAGGGTTAAATTGTCATTAAAAATAAGTTGTTTATTCAGTTCAATATCTTAAGGTCTTCCAATTGGAAATGAGTGCTATCCTACAGGTTATCAACCTTTTATAGCCACAGTGGGAAGATCGAAATTGATTTTATGGGCAGCAATGAAATAAAAGTGAAACCCCAAGACCAGATTTGAAATGTCACTGACAGATATAAGAATGGTGATGTACTATCTTAGCATGCTAGGTTCTCTCAGTCTTTAAGTAAAAATAAGTATAAAAGTAGCAAAATATACATATACTTTTTATCATTAATTTTTCTTATATGTACTGAATATTAATTCTAAATCATCACCTGCCACTAGAGTAATGTCAGCACCAGTTTTGTTTTCAACAATAAGATAAAACATATGAAATGCCATCCAACCTTCGACGAACATCGGGTAAAAATTTATTAGAGCATTGAAGAATACTTGCGCATCTTCAAATTTGCCTTCTGTCATGAGCATAACTGCGTAGAAAAGCAACCTTTGAAGAAACAATGTTGATAAGAAAACTAATTTTCAAACAATGATAAGCCTTATTTATTCTAAATTTAAATTTCCAAGATCAATGTTGAGCATGTACCATAATATAGTTATTCATGTAGGGTGGTATACACAGTGGCTCACAGTGAAATTAACAGACCCCATAAAAAATAAGAAAAAATACTTAAATTATTACAGTAAACAAATAAAACCAGAAACTCTACAACATATTTATTTATAATCTCATTTTAAATATTTATAAACTCAATAAAATTAAAATATTTAAAAAAATAAATGAAAAAAAACTAGATGATTTTACCTCACAGTCAAAATGATAAACCTCACTTCTTATTAACTTTTAAATACTATTAATTTAGTTCAATACCTTGTAGGCAAACCATTATTTTATATCACTCTTTTCAGTCTGTTCGCAATGGAGTCGACCAATTTTCTGGTGATTTCGGGCTTAGCCTGTTCAATTCTTCAAGGAGATATTTTTTCAAGTCTTTTTTGCTAGAAATTTTATGTTTTGTAATTTCTACCTCCAATTTTACCCATAGGTGTTCTACCACTTTAAGATCTGATGACTGTGGTGTTGTTTTTATAACCTTGGAGCAATTATAAATTAGGCATTCCTTAACTAACATTGCAAAGTGTCTGGGAGTCATTATACTCATAAAAACAAAATTTGTATTTTAGCCCAATTTCTTTCAAGTTTCTTCTAAAAATGTCTATGTAAACATGTTTATTCACTAACTCTTGTGAATATTTCCATTATAAAGTGAAGATTTCCTTCACCAGAAACCACCATACATCTCCACATCAAGAAACATAATATAAGAAAAGAACATCTAACATAAGAAAATAACACTTTACCTTTATTGATTACAATAAATTATTTTCTTAATGTAATATAAATTGAACTATTTATTTATTCAATAATTTCTATCAATATTGATATTGATATAGATACTTGCTAAACTTTTGATATTATACATTTCTAGTCATCATCAAACGATAGTACTATTCTATATTGTGAACTCTTTTTATTATTTTTTATTCGTATATAATTAAATCTGTACCTATAGCTAGCGTTTGACAATAACGAGTCTACATATTATTCATTATTTAAATACACTGATATTTTATATTGTCAGCTTTGTCTTTTCTTTGTTAGCAGAAACACACCTCATTTTAAAGAAGAACTTAATGTATTTTTTATTATTTTATTTTTCAAAAGAGTATAATTATAATATTTCCTACTGTACATAGTCTTAATTGTTTTTTCATAGTTTTAAGTGTTTTGTATATAGATTTTTTTTTTTCTATAGCTTGTTTAACTAATATTTTCTTTACTTTCTCTTTTTTATTATTGTTTTATTTTGGCCAGATGTAGTATTTTAATTATGTTCTATTTTGTTATTCTAAAGGGACTTTGTCCCAGAATGAAGTTATTTTCTATTTCTATTTCTATTTCAAAATATTAAGGTCTATCATTTTGACTGTGAGCCACTGTATTTATTTAATAAAACTTTTATAGAAAATAGATACATATCATTACTGATATAGTCAATGTTTATTAATATTTTCGAAACTACATGAGCATGGAACATAGTAATTTCTGAATTCTAAACAGCAATGGATAACCATTCCTTCTGTCTAAGAATTGAGCAATGCTCACCCTATCTAATTAAAGACATCGTCTAATTCTTCTTTAATTCTCTACTAATTCCATTTCTAGATATCTTGATAAAATAAATGAATTGTTGTTTATATTCATAAATTATTAATGGTATCATCAAAATTCACATTTCATTAGAAATAACTGTCTTTTATTTATTTTTACTTTAACCCTAGCTTGACAATAATAAGTCCAAGAAGGATCTAGATCGAGAAGACTTAAAGTTTCTCGGCCAAAGAACACTCAAGCTCTTCCTTGAAAGAATACAATGCAATTTTTTTTAAAGTTTAAAACAATGTAGTACCAGTAAAAAAAGCTTAATATTGAGTATTTTCAACTTTTTTTTTATAGTTTCTTTTTCATTAAATTATTTAATACTTATTTTTTTAGGCAAACAAAACGAGAGGGTAAAAGTGTTGTTCTTACTAAGAAGTTTTATAATATAAAAAATTTGCAGTTTAAGTTTACTAATATTATTTAATTATTCGAATATATTTCACAGAGAACAGCTGAGGTCAGTGATACAAATTGGAAAAGTATCAGTATCAAATTTTATTTCAACTACATTATTTTTTTATAAATAATAAAATAGTATAAAAAGTTAAATGCTAATATATTGATCATCTCATACTCAACAGATATCATTAGTCTCTTATCTTATTTTTGTTATATTTTTATTTAACAACTTATTTCTTTTAAGTTGTTTGATTCATTATTAATAAAGAATACATAATTTTATAAAATTATTAATACATATTTAATTCAGGGAGTACCTTACCCTTCTTTGCATCTTGAATTCAATAAAAGTGCTTCTTTGACGCATTCCATAGCTTGTTGAAAGTCGCCAATGCGGAGAGCTATAACAGCATATTCTATCCAGAGCATAGGGTCACTTTTTTTATCACCATCCAGCCTCTTGCATGTAAATCATTTTATTTAAGATTTTATAATTAAGAAATTTTCGGATAGAAACATTTTAAAAATTTAATCATAACATTCATAAGAAATCCTTCTTTTTTTCAATTTTATTTTTTTGTTTCCTTGAGAATTATTCTGATCTATTTCTGGGAGATACAATACTCCAGCTATAGCCAAGATTATGATATAACCACAAAGTTTATCTCCAGACAAATCTAGTTTACTTATTTCCTTAATAAACACAAATTAGCCCTTATTGAAGAAAGGAACTTTGAGTTAGTACTAGTGTCATGGGCATGAAATTAAACTCTTGGAGACACATGCCTCATAGCCGTAGTGATGGCAATCTGTCTAGAAGAAGGTAACTCCGAAATTAAACCAACAATAGGTTGGACTCTTCAGCTGTGGTGAAAGCCTAAGGGAAGGAAACCCTGAAGACAAAGGAACTGCAAATTGGGTTTGAATGTGGGGCCAATGACCCCTCCTCAGACAGAATGTATTGTTCAGAAAAGTAAGTTTTAAAAAAAAACAGGTGTTTCTAATGGTAAAAGATCTAACCACACTTAATGGATTAGACTAAAATTGAAATAATGAGAGGATTAATTAGTCATATGGAACGTTGAGAACAACCAAAATGACTGAAATTTCCGGCCAGCTCGTAAAATATAATATAGATATTGGAGCATTGCAAGAAATAAGATGAAATGTAAGTGGAAGAATTCATAAAAAAAAAAAAATTTCCATATTATTCAGTGTAGAATAGTAAAAGAACTCATTTCAACATTAACATGAGTTAAAAAATATTATAATGGTGTAGAGACGATTGACCGTGATATAATATGAGAAGGAGTTGGTCACGGGGTGCCGTCAAATAAATAATAAATAAGGTGTACCATAGGTGCAGTGGCCTACAACTTAGGAAACCCAACCTCATCTCGAAGACTGAAGCCCAGACTGATCCAAGACATCATGTTATGAACAATTAATAATTTTCTCTTTATTAATTGTAATTATTCAATAATTATAATGTATAAATAGTTAGGGGTGTCTTTTGCAAAGACTATACCCCACCAGAACAAATTGTTAAAAATCATCAAATTGTTACAACAACCATGTAAGGCCCACCAGGCCGATCTGGTAATAAATAAATTTAAAAAAAAAAAAAAAAGGTGTACCAATAAAAATACTATTTTTAAAATATAGTATTTATTTGACAGCACACCCGACCAACTTCTTCTCATAAAAAATATTATTATGAACATTTTCCATTTATTGCTACTGTTAATTCAAAAGGCCTTATGTAACAATTTTACATGTTTATTCTCTTTGGGCTAAAGGTGACATTTTGTATTCTGCAACTGTTATAAGTAATCTGTTAAATAGGAAAATAGCAGAGAGAAATAAAATATGAAATAATACTAAAAAATTATAAAGAAATAAACGGTTTTTATGTGTAAAAAAAAATAATTAATTTTTACATACGACCTTTTGCACTAACATTAGCAATATTGTTTGTGGATTTAGGGTATTTTTAGCACTAATTTGTTATAAGTCTATCTTTTCACCAGAAAGACCTCAAATTTAATGTAGGCCCAATATAACTTATTCTCCAATAGGATTTAGAATTTTCTAATGTCTTAAAAAGGTGTATTTCTTTTTTAGAAAAATTTGGGAAAACTGCAAAACATATTCCAGAGTTTGGGTGTTTTGAATTGTGAGTGCAGTGTAAATGTCTGAATGCTTCCGTTCAATAACATTTGGTGCAGAGTGTGTTCACACACATAATATGGGAGAGTTATATTGATTGGCTGACATTTTAGATTTTCATCAGGTCTAAAAGGAACAACATAAAAAAATATATATATATTATTAATTGGTATGAGATACACATTTATTGAAATAAGGGGAAAATGGCAGGTAGCAAATGAGCATAATTATTCCTCACAAAGACCATAACTTAGCCAGAAGCTTAGGTTATATAATAAATATTACTCCTACATATTAAGTGTGTAACTATTGATCGTTTGTTTTGACTAATTTCTCCTTAAATTAGATCTACGATAACCATTAATTAAATAATATTTATTCTGATTAATTAGTAGTAAATCAAAATCAAGATACCTTAGATAAATAGTATTTGGCACGATCATAGTCCATTTCTTCAATAGCTTCGACAGCAAAAAGGAATAGGTCATAGCTGCTAATATTTGGCAAATCTCCAACATTAGTTTCAGGCAATGAATGGTCGCCATCTATGATAGTTTTATTTACAACAGACTGCATCTCATCCACAATTCTCGCATACAGCCATCCCACATAGTACTAAAAAATAAAAATATTATCTTGGTTTTGTAATAGATTTTCTTCTACTATTGTGACTAAATTGGTGCCCCGAGATACTACCATGTCTCTCACCACTACACTGAGTTAGAGTGGCTCTTCCCCTCCATTCGAAGACAATGTTTCCTAGGTACGTTCCTCTATCATATAACCAACAATCATCGTCCTCCTTACGCCTACAACCTTCTCCAATTCAAGTCCTCAGTCCACTCCCTTTCCACAAGGTCTAGACCTTCCGACCTTTACATTCCTTCTCACAGATCTGCCTCGTTCCAAAACTCCTTTATTGCTCACTCTGTTAATTTTTGGAATTCCTTTCCTATCAAAATTCTACATTCTTCATCCCTATCTACATTCAAAACCCTCCTATTCCAATTCCTGTTCCAAAAACAGTCAGATACCAACTAACCTTTTATGTAAAATTACATATTATTTATAATAATATATTCACATATAGCTCATAACTTAAATACTTATTATAGATTTGACTTTCTTTTTTTTTCAATAGAGACACAGATTTTATTGTTAAGAAGAATTTACATTTATTTTTTTTCTGTATTTTTTATTTTTTCTAAGTGTTTATTTATATTTTACCATTGTACATAGTTTTAAGTATCTTGGTATGGTTTCAAGAGTTTTGTATATAGATTTTTTTATTTTATTTTGTATATAGTATGTATAACTAATATTTTTTTTTTTTTACTGATTTATCTTTATCTTTACTTTTTATGTTTGTTTTTATTTGGCCAGATATAACATTTTAATTTTTGTACTTTTTTGTTATTCTAAAGGGATTTCATCCCAGAATAAAATTATTTTCTATTCTATTCTATTCTATTCTATATTTGAAGGTAGATAGCTCTTTGCAACTAATCCCATTTGAAATTTTTATGACTACCATGGTGACGAAGAGATTTCAATGAAATTTCACATTTATTTTAAAATTTAAATCAAATTTTACTGCATCCTTCCGCATTCTGCATTCTCCGACGATAAAAAGTTGAAGCTTAATCCTTTAACTTTAACTTTAAATTCCAAATCCGATACCTAGGACTCCACCTTGACAAACGACTCACTTGGAACCCCCATACCAGACTGAAACGATTAGAAACCGAATGACGTTTCCGACTACTCCAGCACTTACTAGACAAAAGCTCTAAACTGCCAACTATTTACAAAAGACTCATATATATTACTATAATAAGGCCTATTTGGACTACTAAACCATCAAATTCCTCTCGTATCCAATCCCTACAATCCAAAATCCTTCATAAAATCCTTAATGCTCCCTACTTTGTCACAAATAAAATCATCCATAATGACCTTAATGTACCATATGTTTCTGACTTGGCTCAATCCAGATACCTGTCCTTTCATAATAAACTTCTGAACCATCCGAACCCTCTCGTTTCCAACCTTGCTTCCTTTTCTATTCCTGATAACCCTCCGAGGCGTCTAAAAAGAAGATGGCCTCGGGACCTTCTAGTATAGAAATATAATTGGAGTGCTACCAATGGGTAGTTTCTCCTCATGTTGTACATGTCATATTACTTGTTCATATTTACTTGTTGTATTTATTATTAATTACAGTTGTAAATTTTGTTAATAAAAAAAAAAAAAACTTTAAATTTAGAAACAAACTTGGATAATTTCAGTTGTCATATTACATTATTCCTCTCTTTTCATTATCCTCACTCCTATAGTGGTTTTGAAAGTTTTTTTTTTATTTTAATTATAATGAACAAACAATGACACCAAAATTTTTTTTTTATTCAATCTTATTTATCTGTGAAATAATAGAGAAAAGATCTGTTTTTATATTTTTCTGTGACTGAAATTTTAAAATGGCAGTTAAAAGAATTGATTGATAGAGCTTCATTTTTTTTTTTTTTTTTACTCATAAGCCTAAAGCTTACTGAATCTTTTTTTATTTTTTGTTATTGTTTTATTTAGGCCAAATATAGTCTTTTAATTTTGTACTATTTTATTATTCTAAAGGCAATTTGTCCCAGAATGAAGTTATTTTCTATTTCTATTTATCATTTCTAAAGCAAACTTCAAATTCTACTTTAATTTCGAATTGTTTTAGTAAGTTAAAAAATTAATAAATACTGCTACAAAAGTTTTTTTTTTGGGTCCTCCCCTTCCTTGCTTTTAAGGCTATATGGGATTTTCCCGGGTCAGGGAGTGAGGGCTGGGATTTAAAAACTCCCCCGGCACCGGAACACGAACTCATGACTATTTTTATCTAGTAATCTCTTGTATCAGGCTGCCGGGCAACAGCGGTGCTGTGCACACATGTTAACCCATTCGGCTACCCCGCCAATTCCTGTTACAAAAGTTGAACTTTGTCTACATTTTTGAGTATTATTTAGATAATCCTTACCTCTATAAGGTTATTTTCTTTACATGTCAGGATAATAATCCCAATTAGTTTGTATTTTTCTTTAGCACAGTTAACACGGAGTGGAGTGATAAAGAAAACCGAATAGCTGTGATCGCCTGACACAAAGTTAGAAAATGTAGGTCAGAGATTTTCAACACTTTGAAACCTGTGGGTATCAGTCATATGTTTGTGTACCACAGTCTAAATAGATGTAATGAGACCCTATCTGTATGTGACAGACCTCGACCAGGCCTTCTCCGCACTGTGTGAGAACGGCAAATACAGTGAAAGCAGTGGCTGCTCAAATCAGAAGAAATCCCATTTGAAAACAACAAATCATGTCTCGGGAAATGGAAATATCTTTCAGATCAATGTCTCACTAATAAAAAGTGACCTTAGGATGGGTGCATTTTGAAGAATGAGAGGACCAAGACTAACCACTTTCCTAAAACAAATTAGAGTGGATAGATGCAAAGTGCTCCTTGGCCGTTACACCAATGGTCTTCATTGAAAGATTTCGTTTAGCGACAAGAAAATTTTTACTATTGAAGAAAAATTTAATTTCCAAAATGATCGTGCGTACGCACACAGCTCTAAAGAAGCCCACGAAGTCATTGGCAGAGTGGAAAGAGATCATCACCCTTTCTCAGGTATGGTTTGGTAGGGAGTTTGCTTTGATGGCACAACAAAGCTCCATTTTTGTGAAAAAGGAGTCAAAACAGCCATTAAAAATTTATCAGGATGATATTTTGGAACCTGTTGTCAATCCTCTAAATGATAGTCTGTTTGCTGGAAGTCATCGGGTTTTGCAGCAGGATTCCGCTCCAGCTCACAAGGCCAGGTCAACTCAGCAGTGTCTGCAAAAGAAGATGCCAGAGTTCATCTCTACCTCAGATTGGCCCTCAGGAAGCCCTGATCTCAACCCACTAGATTATCGGCTTTGGTCCGAACTGGAGAAGATGGCATGCCACAGAGCATACGCTAACTTGGAAAGCCTCAAACAATCTCTGATCCGAGCAGTTGAGCGCTTTCTCCAAGAAGTGATGAATGCTGCTATTGATGACTGGCTACAGAGATTCAATGCTTGTGTCAAGGCAAAATATTAATTTTTCTGTTGAAATCTGTATATATTTCTTTGTAAAAATATTTATGACAAGACTATGTATTTCCAGTTTGTCAATGTTTTGTGCTCTTGGCCCATCTTCATATAAAAATTTTTTTAGTTATATTTTCCAATTTAAAAAATAAAAAAAAATTGTAACTCACATTTTGTCATATTCAACATTTTCATTTTAGAAAGAAAAGTAAATTTTATTATGGGACATTGAGCCTCCAAAGAATAATTATAATGAACAAAGAGTGAAATTTGCCGGGATAAAAAAGCAAGTGAGTAGAGGGGATTGGTGGAAATAATATTGAACTACAGCACAACTTTCCCAGTACTGCAATAAAATCTCATGTTAGGAAAGCCATAATTAAACAAAAAACGAAGCCTGCTGACTTAGGATGGGTAAATATCTATACAGCACATAGTAAATATATATTATTAACTATAAATAGTATCTATATACACACTGTTTTTAGAAACATATTTATTCGAACTAAACATAAATATTAAGTGACTTACTCTGAGTTTTTTTTGATCATTTTTGTCAGCTGTTGGTATTGGATCCCTTAAAGCAGTAGACAAGTAACCTTTCATTCCTTCACTCAGTGATTCTGTAATTATTTGATGTGCCCGAGATTTTTCAAGATACGCATAAAAGTCATTCCCGTCATCTCCAGAAAGTGGATCCATCAAAATTGAGTAAGATTTTTTGAAATCCTGTAATATTTAGATGAGATCTCCTGATGTAATTATATATAAATATAGACATATTTTGTAACTGCAGAGTAAAATAAGTAACATATTAAAACCTCAGATCATAATAAAATAATGCATTATAACTATTTATAATTATAGCAAAAAAAAGTGTGAATATTCTTGAGAAATGATTTCCTACTTGATATTCTGTTGTAATTAAGTCAGTCAAAGTTACAATGCAGTTATGGAAATCATCAACAGTATCATTAACATAGTATAATGGTTTTTTTTTTTCACATCTATTCTTCACTAATTCTTGAATACTGAAATAAACAATAAAAGAAACACATTAAATTATTGTCAAGAGGCATTGGTAAATTTAGAAAAATATATTAAATTACTTAATCAACAAATTTCAATTTGTTATTATTGTTCACAGAGCCTTTGAGATTTGGTGTCCCCGGGCAATGACATTCCACAAAAAATTAAATTTATTTCTCATACTGTTTTATATATATGAAGTAATATTTCAATTTTATTTTGTTCAATATGTCTCTAATTCAGTTACTTTATTAATATACTAAAATAATTTATTCCCATATATAAGCATATAATTTATACTATGTAATTTGTTTTTATTATTCATAACACATGGCAGACGGACCCCTACAGTTCAGTGTCCTGGGGGTAATTGCTCGGCCCTAAGGCCAGCACTGATTGTTCATTGGAAAATAAATTCAGTTTTGGGGTAAACTGATTAATTAACACGTTAGCTGCAGTTACGGTTCCCAGCCTCCCATAGCTTTATATCATACATAATGATTATTTACGTTTGCATCTATCCAACTCCCCTTCAAATATTTTTAAAAAATACCATTTTAGAGACTTCGTAAGATAGGCAAAATTCAAAACAAGACTCCTGGCTGAAATCGAGACGAATATCGGCAGCTAACATGTTAAATACTAGTTTTATAATCAAAGTAATTAAAGCATAAAAATGCTATAATCATTAATTTATTAATTTTAAAATTATATTGTATGGTACAATAAGGAAAAGTAATGCTTAAAACAGAAGATATTGTTTTGATAATCCAAACCATTTTGCTTCAACATAAGTATAGTATTTCTGGAATTCTTATTTGTCACAACTTACAATTATGCTGTCGAAGGATAATGTGCTGTACATTACCATTGTTATTACAATAATGTCTAAACCGAAATGTCTAGTCATCTAAGGGGTACAAAAAAAGATATTCAAACAGAACTATATATTATAAGGCCATCAATATATAATTTAATAATTTATAAATTGATTTTATTTTATGCTCAAGGTTGATTCTTTTCAAGAGTGACCAAGAATATATGTTTTATATTAAGTAATTATAACACTGAAAAACTATAACTCTGAATAAAATAGCAAAAAGGCATGCAAAGGATTTAAATACTTTATAAAATATAGGGGTTAGTAAAAAAATAAATTTAATTTATAAAACAGAAAAAAAAGGTAATTTGGCATTTATATCCATTAACAGTCTATAACAGAATCATTTTTTAAAGGATCAAATTATTACTTACTCCATATTTATTTCGGTCAATGTTGGCTTTGGTATTAATGGTTTAAGCAATTTAATTTCTATAATGACCACTACTTTTTGACCTTTTGAGTTTTCAAGGTACTCTGGCATTATATCTTTCAATTTTTCTTCCCATTCAAATTTCTAAAAATAAAAATTTGTAGTTTACAGAGATAAAATTAACAAAATACGTTCTTAATATAGCAAGTATAACTTATATTGTTTGTCATATTTATAGAACATGAGAGTTAATTTTTAGATACATAAATGAACAATATAAGGAGTTTCCCGATATCTAACCATCCAAATTTGGCTACTAATGTAAACAAAATATAATTTGTTTATAGATATATAAAAACAGGTCATAGTTGAAATAATTTTGGTTTATTATTTTCAATATTGAACCACTGTAATCGTCTAAAAAATTCAAAAAGTTTACACCTTCCCCTCCACCATAAAATCTGAGGTTTTATGTTTTCAGATAGGTAGAACTCGAAAATAAAATAAAAAATGTAATTTTGGTAAAAATGGTCTAATTTGAATGATTATATATATATTTTATATATATATATATATATATATATATATATATATATATATATATATATATATATATATATATATATATAAATTTACTTATTGAATTCAGAAACCTTTCAAACTCTATCTACCATTAATTGCATAATTATTGAATTATGCACAAATAAAATTTCTTTTTCAAATAACATTTTCCTAATTTTTCTAGTTCTCACAAATGATGGCTTTATCATTTGATTTGATGAAGAATTAATTAATAATGGTTTATTGACAAAAAAAAAAAATCTTTTAGAAATAATATACTATATCGTAATAAACAATCCTTCCCCAATATTTCGTAAATGCCGGGAGGTTGATGTCATCTATATATCTAAAGAAGAGATCACATCAATTGCTGAATTAAAGTTAGAAGCTGATATCTTATAATTTTACCATTTTTATTTATTTACATACATACATCTACCCAGAGAGGATCTGTATTATAACTATTTTATGATATATAAACGTACCAATTGTGCTAAACGGAGCCTTTTAAGTAACAAGAATTCTCTTTCCAAGACTGCCATCTTCCTAACATCATTAGTATACTGTATTTGATTATCCATTAGATCATCAGATAAGTTTTGGCCAATGTGCCACATTTTATGCCTTGGTTCAACCTTTGTTAAATTAGTTTCATCATTTGATGACAAATATTCATCTGTATATTCACCATCATATTCACCTTCTGATGAAAAACTAATAGTGTCCTGATCTGATGTATTCAACAAAGGTACGCCTTCTTTTGCCTTAATTTTTTTCAGTGCTTGATATTTATTTTTTAGTGTTTGATATTTATTAATAATATTGATCAACAAGGTCTTGAAGAGCTCAAACACTGGTTCATCTTCATCCAACTGTGACATTTCCAGACTTGTTGTTTGGATTGAAGATTGGTGGTCAGAAGTATTCGTTAGGAGACTGGCATCAGAGGTTTCAAGCTTTTTTGGCTCTTCTTGCTCATTGAAAGATTGTTTAGTGATTGATTTTTTGTCTGGTTTATATTTGGTTTTCAATTTGGAATCACGCTGATGAAGTATCTTCTTCTGGTCTGATGGAAAACCTTTAGGCGATGATTCTATAGAGTTCGTTGGTAGTTCCGTCGGTAGCGTTTCCATGGATTCTGTAGCAAAATTTTCTTCTGCCACTTGTGGATATTTCTTTGAGGATTTGATGGTTTTTCCTTCATGTATTCCCTCAGTTTCATAAATTGCAAATACATTTTGTGAATGAGAAGGAGTTTTGTTTAAATAATATTGCATTGCTTTTGTTTTCAATATGTTTTCATCTTCACTTAATAATTGTTCGTCATTAACTGTTGAAAACATACTTTTGGGAGTTTTAGGAGTTGTATCTTTTGATTTGACAGATGATGGTTTTCGCATCTCTTTTACATCGAAAGCTTTCATTTCCAACCAATCAATTTTTTTCGAATCGCTGTCATTACAAGTGAAACCGCGTATGCCTGTAGAATCTGTTTTTAATCGGCCAGCTTTGGGACTGACATTTCCAAAGTCCCTTGCTTTTGTTAGTGATTCAGTGGCATCGAGTTTGGAACGTTTCCCAGACTTAATTTTTTTCTTTGCCCCATCATGAAATTTCAGAGTTTTCGTTCGTTTCTTCTCATCGATTTCTGAAGCAGAACGTAGGACTGGTTCTGTCACATGCTCTACTGGTTGTGCTAGCTCAGATTCTTTCAAGTTGTAAGCCAATTCTAGCAGATGTCCCAAAAGTAGAAGCAAATTTGTTGAGCCTTTTACTAAATCTGATTTTTTTAGATCCATGTAAATTTTATTTATGTCAGCTGGGTCCTTCCTCAACATGCGGCTGAGGTCTTTATCCCGACTGATCATTTCTTCAGGGTCGCCTGAGAAGGTTGTAGTTAGACCCCATTTGGCAACAGCTTCTTCCCTGTTGAAGTACTGCAACACGCCAGCGGTGCGTAGGTGTGTGCCTACAACAAGTGGTTATCACTTAACATTTTTATTTAATTATATGGAGAAAATTTTCAATATAACCCTACGAATCAATAGATAATATTCATCTCTAATTTATTGTTTATTTTGAAAGAGCGCTGTCGCCAAAAGATGAAAGGAAAAATATCTAGTTTGTCCATTGTAACGACTTTTCTTACTACAATGTCCAATACAAATATTTTTTGCTGTATCTTCATTGATTTTGGCTGATTAAGATTTTTTATTTTCTTTAAGTTTAACTTTTTACACAATTTAATAATTTTTAAAATTAGCATTTGGAATGATTTATGAAATGGAGAGTTTTCGGAAATAACTATTATAAAATTTAAAATTATACTTATATAAAAATAAAAAATGAATAGTAAGTATGGGAAGCACAGATTTTTTTTTTTTTTTTTCAATGGGTATCTCATTCTGATACTGGTTCAATTTAAATGTTTATGTACTGTTTTTTAATGAATTTCATTACTCTTGAAGGAATCATATAGAGATAAGATTTATCATAAAATATAATAATCAATATAAGATAAATTTCTGTAATAGGATGTTAGTAAAAAAGACAATTTTTATTACAACTTTAGATGATGAATAATCAAAATATTATTTTTTTTAATATTTCGTTTTAGAAATAAAAAGTTTGTTTTTGCATTGATATTTATTATTATATATCCAAGGTTACCGAAAAAAAAAATTGAAGCTTTGCAATAATTTATTGTATTGATTTTTGTAGAAAACACAGATTGGTACTTTCAGCTGACAAGATATAAAATCACATAATTTTTGTACACATATTTAGGTAAATCTCAACTTTATTCCTGATAAATCTTAAATTAATTAATATAAACTTAAATCTAAATAAATAAGCAAGTTTTTCTAAAAGGGGGGTTTCTGTTGGATGGGGGTATCTGTATAGTTGGAGGAGGATCAAAAAAAAATTGGGAATAAATCATGATTTTTTTAAAAACGGAACATAGCCTGTCAAAAGTTCTCTTTGAATGGTTTTTCCAATGACAAACTCCCCTTTCATTTGAAGTAAATTTTGTCTCGTTTTACTGTGAAGCATTTGGTAATTAATTAAACTAAGTATTTTTTTAGTTTTTTTCTTCCTATTCAACAAAAAAACAAAACACAAAACTTAAAGTTCCTACTTAATTTTCTACTGGAGATTATATGGACTTGTTTGTAGCTCTTGATTTCTACTATCACCTTTTCAAAATTTACCCTCTAAATTCAAAATTACCCTCTACAGGACACCCTACATATATACATTATCCATATTGAAATCTTCTTTTTTCTTTTTTTTCTGGGAAGTTGTCTATTCATTTTAGTTGTTGTGCACTACTGTAATTTTGCTACAGTAGTGCGAGTTTAGCAGGCATACAAGAACTTATATATATATATATATATATATATAAGTTCTTGTATGCCTGCTAAACTCGCACTACTGTAGCAAAATTACAGTAGTGCACAACAACTAAAATGAATAGACAACTTCCCAGAAAAAAAAGAAAAAAGAAGATTTCAATATGGATAATGGCAATCACCATATTATAAAATGTTTTAGAAACTTGAAAGTTAAAGTATATAGCTTGCTGCATGCACACATGGTAGAAAGTAATTACAAATTTATTGTAACAAACAAAATTCAAATATGTAATGTAACAAGCACAATATTATAACTTAAAATTTTTTTAGCCTTGCATCCACAAGAGTATTGGAATTGCAGTTCTGAAGATGGGAATAAATGTCCCGAAACGCCAACTAACTTGTTAACATGTAATGTTGATAGTAAAATATACTCAATTGTTAACAACTGGAAGTTATTATTGCCAAACAACTAAAATATAATAAACATGTAAAATTGTTACATACAACCTTTTACACTAACAGTAGATATATGTAAGTGATGTAGCGAGTTATAGTATTGTTTTAAATACAATGTATCATACATAATGGACTATAAACGTGATTCTTGAATGTAAGGTAAAATGTAAACAAAGTCGTGATAAAATAAAAATAAAATAACAATTGATATTAAATTAGCACATGTTACCAGATAAAGATATTGAAGAACTAATACGGTAACATAGGTGATTTAGTGGGTTATAGTATCGTTTGAATACAGAGTATTTATATATAATGGACTACACAAAAAAAAAAAAAAAAATTTACCATGAAAGTTAATATGTAAACAAAGTTGTGATAATGAGAATGGTACATTGCTCTACTTCATAACAATTAATATTTATAATTTGTGTCTTTTTTAGCCCTCATGAAGAATTACAATGTAGGTCGAAACGTCGGCAAACATAATATATTGGGCAGTATAGAACTTCAATGAAAGTCTCGAGACGGCAAATTAAAAAAAAAAAAATATTATATATTGACCGCAAGCCCCATCTTCCCCGACTCCTTCTCAAATTATAATCACAGTCAACCATCCTTAAACCATTAAAAAGAAAAATAGTCAACTTAATTAATTAGTAAAATCAATTTACTTACATCCCGGAACCAAAAGTGGAGAAAGATCAACCCAAGCGACATAAGCTTTCCTTTCTAAGAGTACGATGTCGTCTTGGTTGAGGAATTCTTTTGGGCCTTCGGTACTTTCTGACGTGGAATCTCCTATTGATGTGCTTCCTTCCTCTCTAGCCAACTTCTTTGATTCTCGTATTCTTTCTATAAAAGGCATATGAGCTAGAAATTTTTTTTTCTTTTTCGGTTCATAAGCAGACAATAATTGCATAACTCTTGATTCGAGTCCTGCTACTTTTTTTGCCATTTCAGCTTTATTATCACTTTTTTCGTTTCCAGTTGCTTTCATGATATCTAAAACTTCTTTAAATTCACTGAATATACTGTCGATTTCTGTTTTAAGGTCTTCCATCATATCATTATCATCTGCCAACTTTTCCTTCAGACTTCCTGGTAGTTGATCTCGTTCCACAAAAAGTTTCCCCAACATCAGTAACTCGAAAGGCCAAACCCCATATCTGTTGAAAAGCAAAAAATCGTGACACTACCAATGGATGAATAAATTTAAAATCATTATTTATTGTTATCTCTGTTGTAATTCAATTGGAATAATTTAGTTTCACTAAAAACTGAAAGTAATCATCATTTAAATAATGAATCAGGGGAGAAACGGAGCGATGGGCACGTATTTTTATTAATCTTTGAAATTAATAAAATATTCTATACGAAGGTTTCATTAGAAAAACTCAGGAAGAAGAAAAACATTCCGCAATGCATAAGACGCCAAAAATATGGCCACATCAAGTCATATTACCATCACTCACTACGGGTACGTCACATGTGGACAGGGACACGAAAGCTCTATATGTTATAGAACACGAGAAACTGCGGCAACGTGCGCTCAAGAAATAAATCACGTCCATCACAGGTTACCAACTACACCTGCGAACCTTCAAGATTTTCTTGCTCTATCAGCAACCTCAATATGAGTAGCAATTTCCTGCGCAGCAGCAGAAGTCCACAAACCAACAACATCTTGCGCACCAGCAACAGCCAGCTCATAGACAATTGGAAAGGAATCCACGTCTACAAGCTCCAGCATTAGTACTGTAAAACATCCAATCATCGACAGACATGAAGGAGGAAAGTACCCAGCCACCTTTAGCCAATAACTATGTCTCTCCACAACTGTCTCAGCTATTTAATGGTCCGAAAACTCTCATTCAGCTCCCTTTTTAGCCTCCTCCAACATCTCGCACAGGTAACTCAAGACATGTATCTTTCTAATGGCGATTAACCAGCTTGTTGTAGCCTCCTTGTACATTCTTCTGTGGAATGCGAATGTATTAATGCAACATAGGACAGAATTGGACTTATATTTACACGAAAAACGCATAGACAACTCAACGATAACAAAAACACACTTACACCACGATCTAAATTTAAAGCTCAACAACAAAATGGATTGGGATGCTTATAAGGCATTTCTGTTCTGTCAATTCTTAGTTCAATTAAAACCGAAGAAGAATTAAATGAGGCAGTGGATAAATTTACTAAAAGTGTTCAAAAAGCTGCTTGGAATTCATCTCTTCCAATTTCTACAAGGCCAGAGCATTTTCTAGGTACCCTCAATATATAACGGACTTGATCACGGAAAAGAGAAGAGCTCTTAAGGTATAGCAGACTTCCTTCAGGTAAACGAACATTTAACAGACTGAATAATGAACTTAAATGACTAATACAAAAATTCAATGAAACAAACTATGGTGCTTACTTGAACAGCCTATCCACTGACGATGGAAGTTTGTGAAAGCATACCAAGAATTTGTTATTACATTGAGAGGTATCAGTACCCATGGGAAAAGAAGATGGTTCATGGGATTTGTTGGATAGGAAATAATCTGAACTATTTTCTGACCATCTGTCATCAGTATTTACACCATTTACTGACTTCACGAATACAGAACAAGAAATTTTTATACTATTATATAGATATACCACTGCCGTTGACACCACTCCCTCTTTCATTCACTTCTTAACAAAGAGCATAGCAAATCAAACATCTACCCTAAAGAAAAGCTCGAGGTTATGAATTAATAACTACTAGAGGCTCTACAGCAAATGCCCAGGAAAGCACTAGGGTTCCTTACAACAATATACAACTGCTGAGGACAATTGATTTTCCACTATAATCGAAATATTTACATATCAAAATGGTAGAAAAAAAGGACAAAGACATTTTCAATCCATCATCAGTCTTCTCCCAATATGTCTATTTTTCTTATCATTGCGATGTCCAGTGATGGACTTAGGACGAGGCAACCGGGCCAATAGCTCTGGGACGCCAACCTGGAGAGGCGCTCGTTAAGGACGCTAGCCGATCTTAAGGGGCGCTCGCCACTTGTTAAAAATTAAACAAAAAAATACAAACGTATTGAAATAATCAACTTTAGCCTATCAATAAAGTAGCTGTATTAGAGAAATATTTAATGAAATAAAAATGAAATTTGCATAATATAAAACAGCTTAAGAAATTAATTTAATTTTTTTAGAGAAGTGGAGTGGAGAGATGACGTCATTGCCCGGTGGCGCCGAAGGTCTAAGGCCGACACTGGCGATGTCTATAAGTTTTTTGTGTAAATATAAGTCCAATTCTGTCCTATGTTGCATTAGTCCATAGGGAGGAAGCTATAGTAAGCTGATTAATGGCTATTATGAAGATACAGGCCTTGAGTTACCCGTGCGAGCTGTTGGAGGAGGCTAAAAAGGAGCTGAATGAGAGATCTCCTCTCCTGAATCAAGGAAGTAAACAATGACCAGGAAGAGGTACTGCTAGTTGACATCCTTCCTCATGCTCATAATACCAATCATTTAATTCATCACAACAAATCTGCTGATTGTCACTATCATGGCAGGTAAAGATAAATATTTGAAGTCAAAAAAACTTTTCGAAACCAAGCGTAGAAAGTGAATAATGATAGCATCAATAAAATAAAGGAAATTTTCATATATTGTTTAGTTGTTCCAATGTGCTAGAGATGAATTAGTTGAAAATATGACTGGAACGGGGTGACCAAATGAATGTTACAATTAATATATAAAATAATATATAAATGGGTGGGCGAAATTAATATATATTGCCTGAAAACTTTATAAACTGAAGTTTAAATGAAAAAAATAATTATGAGTTCGCGTCCCGGTTCCAGGAGGACTTTTAACTCTGGCATCTACTGCCCTCTCCATGGGCCCGGGAAAATCCCCATATATCTGAAAAGATGAGGAAGGGGTGAGAAAAAAAAGTTGAATATATAAGTTTTCAGAGAAAAAATGGTGGTTGATTCTGGAGAAAAGAGGTTATTAAAATTGTAACATCAATACTTTTTTTTTAAATAATGGTAAAATGAAAAAAAAAAAAAATTTTCATACAAATAAAAAGATTAAATTTTTAAAAATATATTTATACAATTACCATCACATACCCAGACCTGTTTGGAAAATAAACTTGTCTTGACCCAAGTTTATTCAATATTTAGGTTCGTTTTTTAAAAAAATAATCGCGCCGACGGATTCATTGGTTGTTTTTACAAAGGAATACTCACTTAAGTCGATTTTAAAACAGGATCAATCAGAGTTCACTTTGGAATTAAGCGACTTAACCAATATATATTATTTTCAACCAAGCCTTAGAATATGCAGTACGTGCTATTCGGACAAGCCCTCATGGCACTATATATAATAGATTGTCACAGCATCTAGTCTATGCAGATGACGTGGTAATATCGGCTAGATCAACAGCATCTTTTTTGGGAGCATTTGAGGACTTCGAAAACGCTGCGAAAAAGTTAGGCCACCATGTAAATGATGAAAAGACTGTATATATGAAGTCAACAAGAAACCCACCAGAAAGAATGGAAGAAATGATTAAATTTGGAAGCCACACCTTCAGGATAGCAAACCAGTTCAAATATTTGGGTGCTCTTGTCACATCAAAAAATGAACACCAAGAAGAAATTAAGGCAAGAGTAGCTGCTGGAAACAGGTGCTATATGCACATCTTCAAAAACCATTAAAATTTAGAGGCCTGATAAAACAGAGGTAAGGTCATCTTATATAAAACAGTCATTAGGCCAGTTGTATCCTATGGCTGTAAGACTTAAGTACTTTCCTATAGAAAGTATGTTAAAAGTTTGGGAAAGGAAAGTACTCAGAAGAATATATGGAGCTGTCTGCGAGAACGGCAACTGGAGAATAAGAAAGAATGAGGAGCTGAAAGAAATGTTCCAAGAACCAGATCTGGTTTCTCTTGTTAGAAAAAATCACTTGAGGTGGCTGGGAAATATAGAGCTAATAGGATACCCAAAAAATTACTGGAGGAGAAAGAGTTAGATGACGTCCACGATTAAGATGGTCAGATGGAATAGAGAGAGTATTGAGGGAGATGGGAATCAAAGGATGGAGGAGACTCGCCCAGAATAGGGAAGAGTGGAACAGGATTGTACAGGAAGCCCAGACCCTTGTAGGACAGTAGCGCCATGGAGTAAGTAAGTAATATATATATATATATATATATATATATATATATATATATATATATATTAGTATAGAACTATAAGCGATGGTCTCATATCTCTATCAGATATCTTTTTAAAATTCATTTTATTTTAATAGAAAGATTTAAAAAAACAGAAAATTTCAATTAAAAATTGTTGGGTAAATTCATTAAAGAGAAAGACCCCTTTTTTTGTCATGGTATGATTTTAAAAATTTAAAAAACTCTCTCAAATCTCAAAATACACCACACCATCGATCATCGAATACGGGGAAAGGCATCGCACTAGATCGGAGAGGTGCTCAAATGGTAGAAAGTTACTGGCTATATTTCAAGTGATAATTTCACAAGAGTAAAAAAACTCACTTAGTTCACGCACTAACAATAACCTGATATTAAGCTATTATAAAAAAAAATATATTAAATATTTTAAACTTACTGCATAATTCTTTCCTTGACAAGGCTTTCTAGATCTCTGTGAAGCCAAATCGGGCGGACCATATTCCATTCAATACGGGGCTCACTTTTCGATCGAAATTTCTTTCGTATATCGATAGCAACCGTAGACAAGAGATCACCACCGTCTGTTCTTATTCTATAACAAAAAATCATTTGTTATTATTCTAAGCTTTATATTTAATAAGCAAAACTAACCGAACGCTTAATCGCTTAAAGAAAATTAAGTTATCTATGTTATTTGTTATACTATATGTTCTAGATGTAATTGCGAATTCGCATGCCTGTGAACAATACGAAATACCGATTGTGCAATCGGTGAAAAAAAAAAACCTATTTTTTGTAGGTATTGGAAAAATTATTTTCGTTCCGCCAATCAAAAAATAGATTACTTGCCTAATATATTTCACTAATTCAATCAGTAAAATATTGATTATTAACGTTGCACGAGCCTTCCAAATCTAATCATGGAATAATGTTTGAATTACAAAGAAAACTGTTCGACATTATTATTATTTTCACTTACATTTTGTATGTTTGGTAAAATTTCTTTTTAAAATCATGAACAGCTATTTCAAACGATGGACTAAGTGAAAAAATAAATTACTTATTCGTTTTTGCATGCCCGCAATATTATATTGAAAAATTACTAAAATAAATAGAAAAAAATTGTTTATTAAGACTAAGAATAATATATATATATATATAAAAGTTACAATACGCTATAAATAAGTTTAATTCAATTTACAATATTTAATTTTGTAATTTAATCTATTAAATTGAATTAAACTTATTTATAGCGTATTGTAACTTTTTTTTAATATCCTTTATGAAAGAAAAGAAACTTTATTTGCAAATAACTTAAAAAGTATGCATTTTTTTCTCGATTGTACACATTATAATTAAAAAGATTACTAAATTACCAACAAAACAAAAAAAAATCGTAAAAATCGGACAATTATTAACAAAGATACAGTCCATTAGTTTTGGTATACTTAATAATGTCTTCCTGTTTAAAGATATTGCATTTAGGAGTAGAATAGTCTACTACATTTTTTTTCCTGGCTTATATTAACTTAATTATTTTTTAAAGACATTTTGTTGTTCTTACATTTTATTTTTTAATTAAAATAATTTAGTTTTTAATTCAATTTTAATAATTTAGAATATACCATGTTTGCGTTATTATTTTGTCTTTATTACTTTTATTATCTTTCTAGTAGCGTTTAAAAATAGGTCCTAGCAAAGCAATTTTGTACAAATATTTAATATTTAATATTTAGTGGAATATTGTAATCGACCAAGGAAAAAATATTAATTCCTTCCTTACATAATACATAATAACTACTTATTTCCATATTGTTTTGCTATTTCTTCACTAAACAAAAATTTCTGCGATTTTTTTGCACGAGCCAACTTGTTAACTAATGAAGAATTGACGAAGTTATGGCGTACCGACAAAAAAAAAAAACCTTTTAGAAATAATATATAGGATATTTAAAAAAAGTTACAATACGCTATAAATAAGTTTAATTCAATTTATAAATATTTAATTTTATAATTTTGTAATTTAATCTATTAAATTGAATTAAACTTATTTATAGCGTATTGTAACTTTTTTTTAATATCCTATATATTATCCTATATTATTTATTTATTTTTTTTGTCGGTACGCCATAACTTCGTTAATTCTTCATTAAATCCAATGATAGACCACTCATTTTGAAGATATTCTTCTCCTTCACATGCGAAAAATAATCGTATCTCTCCGAAATTTCTGGGAAAAAATTATGAAGGAAAAGAAACTTTATTTGAGAATAATTCAAAAAGTATGCATTTTTTTTCTGGATTTTACTCATGATAATTAGAAAGATTACTAAATTGCCTACAAAACAAAAAAAAAATCGTAAAAATCGCTTAAAAATATGCATAATTAAAACAATTTGTATTGACGGAAGGAGTAAAGTGTGTTGAAATCTTTTTTTAAGGAGAAACAGAGTTGAGATTTGTAATTCACAGCTCGAAAGACCCCCGAATACAAATTTTTATTGGGATCGAAAAATACAATTTTTTTTTCTACAAATTTGAACTAAGGCTCTCCTCTTTGGTTTTATTTCGAGAATCACAAAACGTGTTATAACTTCAATATTCTTCCACATATTCAAACGAAAATTTCCAGGGGTGTAGGGCCTTATAAACTACACAAAATGACACAAACTGTGCCTTCCTAAGTAATTCAGAACTTAAGTTATAAATAAAAACCTGTTTATGAAAGAAAAGAAACTTTATTTGCGAATAATTTAAAGAGTGTGCATTTTTTTCTCGATTGTACACATTATAATTAAAAAGATTATTAAATTACCAACAAAACAAAACAAAAATCGTAAAAATCGGACAATTATTAACAAAGATACAGTCCATTAGTTTTGGTATACTTAATAATGTCTTCCTGTTTAAAGATATTGCATTTAGGAATAGAATAGTCAACTACATTTTGTTTTTCCTGGCTGATATATTAACTTTATTATTTCTTAAAGACCTATGGTTTTTCTTACATTTTATTTTTTAATTAAAATAATTTAGTTTTTAATTTAATTTTAATAATTTAGAATATCCCATGATCGCGTTATTATTTTGTCTTTATTACTTTTATTATCTTTCTAGTAGCGTTTAAAAATAGGTCCTAGCAAAGCGATTTGTACAAATATTTAATATTTAATATTTAGTGGAAAATTGTAATCGACAAAGGAAAAAATACTAATTCCTTCCTAACATAATACATAAGAACTACTTATTTCCATATTGTTTTGCCATTTCTTCATTAAACAAAATTTTCTGCGAACTTTGCACGAGCCAACTTGTACGATTTAATTTAAGTGTATTAACGACTGTTTGCTATTTGATAGTCTTCACAAGGTCCGTTATTTATTTTTATTTTTTTTTTAAATGAATCTAATTGTTCATCGATTGCAATAAAACTGTTGTCTAGGCTATTGAAAAACGTAAAATACATAATCCCTCCTTTTCACGCTACATCAAGATTTTCACTATTTGTTAGCCTGTTAATTTTTCCCTTTATTAGTTTGCTACGCTATTAATTCTCTTAATATAAGTTCACAGACAAGATTGGTTGTAATAAATACATCTATCTCATTTTTTTCAATAATTTAGTGAGATGAAGCTATTTCTTATGCGAGAAAAACATTTATTCATTTCTTTTATACCCGGTTAATCCGGAGAACCGGTAAAAGGGGGTTCTACTGGAGATATTTTATAGAAAATTTAGTTGTGATTATCATTATATCAACACTATTTTTCTGTGACTTATAAATCAGAATCTATAAAAAAATAAAATTAAAAAAATCAATTTTCAACCACTGTTAGCCGTAACGGTTCTAACGATTTTGATGAAACTTGGTTGGTTTCTTGGACTTTGACTTCTCCAACTTACATCAATAACTTTAAGACAAGAATCCTTTTCAACTATAAATTTATAAAAAAAAAATTTATTATTAAAATACGGCTAAAAAAATCTTTTTAATCAGTTCAGTATTATCAATGATAAGGACTTTTGATCTTCGTATTCTTATTTTTATAAGCATTGTGGAAATTTTACAAGTTCTTCTTAGAACTTTTATAAATGTTTGAAGAGTGGATTCCATTCATGGATATGAATTTACCTAGATACCCAGAAACAGAAAGATATCCAATTCCCTTACTGAGTATGAAAGCCTTGGTACAACGTCCGTGCAATGTAGGACGATCTTGCTATCAGTCCATTTCAGTCTCAGTAATGTTTCAGTTGCAGTTTACTTAAGGTTAAAACGTTAGTGCTGTTGAAGGCTATCAATCTCCAGGGACAATGACTCAATCCTCACTAACGCTGAATGAGGGAAAGAATGAGAAACGGAACTCTTCCTCTTTAGAAACGAGTTCTGCTGCTTTGTCTTCATTGACAAGGGGGTGACTGTTAAAAATGTTAAAACAACTCTAGTCTTCCTTTAATTAACAAATTCCCAAAGGTTAAGGAAGTACGAGAAATTTTATCAAAAAGAAAGTCAAAGCATTTATTTCTTACACGCTGAATTCTAAAATTTGTAGTGCTTAATAATCTTTGTTTCTTATCTCTGTGGAAGGAGAGCGAGTTGATTCACCCAAAGAAAGAATAGTTCGGCAACAACAAAACTAAATGTTCCTGATCTAAAACTAAATGTTAACGTTGTCATGAAAATAATAGAAACAATAAGCAAGTTTCTTTACATTTAACGTCAAATTTATGACTAAAAATGTTTAGAATAGAAAATAATTTTATTCTGAGACAAAGTCCCTTTAGAAGAACAAAAAAGTACGAAATTCAAATATTATATCTGGCCTAAATAAAAAAAACATAAAAAGTAAAAATAAAGAGAAATACGTAAAGAAATTATTAGTTAAACATACTATATACAAAATAAAAAAAAATTTATATACAAAACACTTGAAACCATGCCAAGACACTTAAAACTATCTACAGAGGTAAAACATAAATATACGCTTTCAGAAAAAAATAAAATAAAAAGTACATTACATTCTTCTTAGGAGTAAACTCTGTAGAAAAAAAAAACAAAAAAGAAAGTCGAATCTGATAGTAAGTATTTAAGTGATGAGTTTTATGTAAATACATCATTATGAATAATATGTAATTTTACATAAAAGGTTAGCGGGTATCTGACTGTTTTTGGGACAGGAATTGGAATAGGAGAGTTTTAAATGTAGATAGGGAGGGAGAATGCCGAATTTCGATAGGAAGGGAATACTAGAAATTAGCAGAGCGAGCAATAAAGGAGTTTTCTGTTAAGATCTGTGAGATGGAATGTAAAGGTCAGAAGGTCGAGATTTTGTGGAAAGGGAGTGGTTTATTTCGTCTATTATAAATACGGATCGAATCCTATAATAGAGATCTTAGAAAAACACTATATATGATGATGTGATGGAGAAAACACGATTACATTTACACTATATAAGTTGAATAATCGACAATTTTTTTTTTAGGAATAAAAAGATTGTTAATGCATTTATATTTGTTATTATACATCCCAGGCTTTCCAGGCACAGCTAAGAAGTGTAGTGCACCTCGGAATATTACTAGCCAGTGATATTATGAAGGCTAAAAAAAGGAAGCAGAAAACATTTGTTAAAGTATTTTATTAAGTGTTATTAAATTAACGGTTTAACCTGTAAATTTTTGTATTGTATATTTTAAATCGGTTTACAATTTAAAGCATAAATTGTAAAGAAGGGAGTGTGTTGAGTTAATGCATGCTATCTAGCAGCACTGTAGCTGTTGTAAACAAAAGGAAGATTGGCTTGGGTGAGGTTACACAGAGAGTAATTGTCCATTGTTCCTGATAGTGTGATGCATATGTAGGGGAATAAAAGTGTTTTTGTGTATTTTGTGGTAAAGTTTATCAACTATAGCCTCATTCATAATGATGTAGAGATGGTTGACCGTTGATATAATATGAGAAGATAAGAAAAAGATGATATCAGAGATATAGTGGTGACAATGTAGTTAAAATATCAAGTCTTATATATGTAGAAGATACAAACAAATGGAAAATAAGTATGAATAAAAATAAAAAATAAAGGAGAATATAGCATGTAAGGTAAAAGTAAACAGATTGAGATAAAAGATAAGGAATAAGTGTATAACAAACTAATAGAGATTACATTTGATAACTGTGGGTTAACATATAAAGAAAATGTGTAATGTAGTAAAGTTAAAATAAGAATAAGATAACATAATAATAAGATATCAGTGGGTAACAAGCTAGTGGAGGTTACATCTGATTGTAGGTAAACAGATAACGGGACTAAAGGTTAAGAAGTAAAGAAATTGAAAGATTAATAGGGTAACATATAGTCTCATAAGTTTCCTGAAGTGATTTACTGACATCACACTACCAATAAACCAATAACTATTATAGTTTTATTGATCTTTAATAGGTTTTTTTATTTCTTTATGACATTTACAACTGTATTACATAAATACATCAAGTAAATTTGGACATAGTTGATATAATGACATGAATACACTTGCTGAATAACTACCCAACGGTAGCACTCTAATGATATGACTACATTAGGAGATCACGGGGCCATCTTCTTTTCAGACGCCTCGGAGGGTTATCAGGAATTGAAGAGGAAGCAAGGTTAGAAACGAGAGGGTTGGGATGATTCTGAAGTTTATTATGGAAGGATAGGTATCTGGATTGGGCCAGATCTGAAACATAAGGAACATTAAGATCTTTATGGATAATTTTATTAGTGACGAAGTAAGGAGCATTGAGGATTTTACGAAGGATTTTGGATTGTAAGGATTGGATGCGAGAGGAATTCGATGGTTTAGTGGAGCCCCATAGCTCAACTCCGTAAGTCTAAATAGGTCTTATTATATTCAAGTATATGAGTCATTTGTAATTAATGGGAAGTTCAGAGCGTTTGTCTAGTAAGTGCTGAAGTAATCGGAAACGTCGAGCGGTTTCTTGTCGTTTCAGTCTAGTATGAGGATTCCAAGTTAGTCGTTTGTCCAGGTGGAGTCCTAGGTATCGGATTTGCTCAACAGGGATAAGTGGAGTATTGTTAAAGGAAACTGTAGGACAGGAAGTCGTTGGTTTACGACGAAGGGTAAAGGTAATTTGGTGGGATTTATTGGAGTTTATTTTAATTCTCCAGTTTTGACACCATTCTTCTAGATTTATGATGTGTGATTGAAGCATTTGGGATGCAATTGCTGGGTCATTGTTTACTGATAGGATACATGTGTCATCGGCATATGTGGTGATGACAGTGTTGGGACAGGTAGGGATGTCAGCTGTATAAACTGTATAGAGGATAGGAACTTATCATTTTAGAGAATTTCTTAGCCAAGAAACCTATAGTAGTTAAAAAAATTAATATTACATTAGAAATCTAATATTTTTTAAACAGAGTTCTACCATTGAAGAGAGAAAAAGTAAACGGTATCAGCCAGATTAAACTCACCTCTGATCTGTCATTGCCGGAGCCCCATTAATGCTTGCTAGTGAAGCCCATTTCTTCCTAATATCAACCGTTTGTTCCCACTTATAAATACCTCTGTCGAACTGAATCAAATCTAAATCTGGAGGTTTTTTAATTTCTACTTTCTGTGGTGGTGGTGTATCAATTGATGTCCGGGCTGATTGTTGTTTCTGAGACTTAGTTTTTGGTTTTGACTTTTTCGATGCTGTTTTTTTAGACTCTGGTTTGACCTCTTCGTGCTGAAAATATTACATTTTCATGAGATTGATTGCATTCTGGGTACAAAATTATACTTATATTGATAATGTTAAAAACAATTTAAGATACATTATTCATCTTCATTCTCATAACGTACCGGTTCCTCACCAACTGCGAACATTTCTTCAAGCATGGCGTGTTCTTCATCAATCGACATGCTCGGCATGGGGAACACCAAAGTGTGTTCAGCATCCTCCAAGAAATGGCTCTTGTCGAGATTGTACACAGACTCCACTGACAGCCACATTATGTTGTTCATCTCTTTGGCCGATAAATTCTTCCTACTATCGACTAACTTAACGGAAATTCTTGGATGCTCTGAATATGTCCTTCTAAAAAATACGGTATCCTGGACGCCTGGTGGCTCCAAGACGACGTTTGATTGTATCTGATGCTGTCCTGAAAAAAAAAAAGAAGATACTAACAAGATTTAGAAAAGATTTTGGCAAAAGCTGATTAACGTAGAAAAAAGTTTTGTTTTTTTAATAGATCAACTTCCTCTCAGAGAGCATACTTGGGAAAATACAGATGTGGGAACACCGATTCAATAATTTTTTTTTTGGTATAATAAATTAAAAAATATTAGAGGCATGTACGACGGTTCTTGCCAATGAGCCCTAGGAGCCGAGAAAACATATTCGTCCGCTGCCTTATTAAAGCACATTACATATTCTTGAACATTAAGAATGGCTTCGTATAATTTTGTTCATTCAAATAAACTTACTAACGAATGATAAATAAGTCTCCAAATTACACCTAGAAATACGAATTCTCGTGGCAGAACACTGCTGTCTGCACTTAATGCCCAACGTTTCAGGTTTCTTCTTCCCAATTCACCTTTTTTTTTTTTCACTCTACCTAGCCATTTCTGGCATACATCATTCCTCCCAAATCAACTATCTACTAGGCCTCTCCTCGTGACAATTCTCTATGGAAGATCACTAAAAAAAATCCTAAAACCTCATCATATTTACATCCCCTACGTCGAGGTGATGGCTCTTGGGCTGCGTCTAACGAAAATAAAGCCAATTTGCCAAACACCTTTCCTTTACATTCACCTCTCATCTGCAATCCAACCTCAACTCCACCACAGCAGTAGAAGAATTTTTAAATTCATCCATCCCATTCTCCTTGTAACCTAAAGCAGTTAATTCTTCTGAGGTCAAACATCACTTACAAAAACTTCTTCCCCGTAAATCTTGTGTACACGACCTTTTGTTGACTGAGTATGGCACGCCGGGATTCTTTCAAAGCTTAAAACCCATCTCCTCATTCTTTATACTTAGTACTTAGTCTCCGCTCCTAGATCGCATCTTTCTAGTTTCGGACTAAAACTTTGGGGACAGCAAAATTTTATAACATCAAACGCATCTAATTCTTTAAGTCCACAGTCCTTCGCACAATGGTCGGTGCTCCGTTTTAAGTAACTAACCATGAGCTTAATATCCCATTTATCCTAGAAGAGTTTTCCAAATTTTACCAAAACTTTACACACCATCCAAACCCCCCTTTGCACAATCCCTATCCAGTACCGCCCATCCCTATAATCCTCCAAGAAGGTTGAAATGGCAGTGGCCCCGCGACCATTTATAGTTTGTATACAGCCTAGTTCAAGCAATGGCTAGATTCCCTACTATGTGGCTAAATCGCTGAAAATGTCCAATTTCCATTGGGCTTAGCCCCAGTGACACGGTTGAGAGAGTAGTGCAGTAATCCACAGTTGGAAGGACAAGCGTGGTTCGCCTGAGTTCCTCGCCTGATTGTAAATAGTGTATATAGGTGTGTTCTTTTTTTTTTTTATCTTTAAGTTATTTTGTTTTCATATACTTTTTGATTATAGTTTAGTTTTTGCTTTTCTTTATTTTATTTGTGTATGTATATATAATATAAATGAGGTCACATAACATCTGTCAACAGGTGCATTTATTTAGGGATTTGTTTAAGCCAATATTACTAAATATGATAGGGGGCGGGGTGGCCGAGTGGGTTAACGCGTGTGCACATTACCGTCGCACAGTGGGACGAGAAAACTCGCGACATCGGCTAAATCTATTATTTTTTTTCCAATTGAACTATTCAATAAAAAACAGTGAAAAATGTATATTCTGCCGTCTGAAAATATTCTCGGGAACCCCACGAACTCCACAAGGTATGAATAAAATAGTTTTTTTTTTTATTAGTTTAAACTTATTATAAACTTATAAAATTATTGTTTATCAGTTATAAACAATAATATAAATGAGGTCTTACCTCACTATAACTGTTGTTAAATAGCTAGAATGTTATATTACTCAATAAATAAATCAACAACTAATATCAATTTAAAACCACGGTTGAAGTCATATGACTTTTGGATCTTGCTTGATGTTGGCCAAAATCGGTCTTGGTCTTGCACTTTGCAGGACCAAGACCAAGGCCACCTAACTGCTGTAAGACCAAGACAAGGACAGGAAAAATCGATTTTTTAAATAAAAATTAAGACAAAATAGTTACTAATACTTGACAATCTTAGTTACTATATATTAATAATTGCTACAGCCAATATACTTTTGCATTTAACTCATCTGATTTTCCATTTGGGCTTGGTTAGGTTTCTTCTATCTAAAAAAATACAGTAATATCTCTATAGTAATAAGCTAATAAGTAAATGCAAGACTCTTGCGCAAGACCAAGAACATGGATAAGACTGATTTGCAAGACCAATACCCGTCCCGGTCTCTCATTTGGTTAACATTAATCTTGATATCTTCAATTTTGATAACTTGAGTTTAGTCCGCGCAAAAGACCCCTTTTTATCAAATTATTAACATCCATATAAAACTTCAAGAATGAATTCTTCTTATCGTATCCGACAACTTTTTTATTTAAGAAAATTCCTGAAAACACGACATTTTCAATCTGAATATCGGTAAATTTTGTCAGTTTAATTTATTAAATAGTTTTATATCTTAATACATAATATAATAAGACGGGTCTAATGGGTCTAATGAGACCCATGAACACCCATTTTCTTTCCACTTGAATCGTAAGATAACATGATAACAAAATCGAAAAGAATTAAAAGATGGGCTACAATAATGGACCGTTATGATAATGTAACCTCGTTATTTTGACATGTTTGGAATGGAAGTCACGCCCAATGGGCCATTATTTTTGTAGACCTCCTTTTTTCTAGACGTTTTGATGAAATTATCTCACGATTCAAGCGGAAAGCAAATGGGTAGTCATGAGTTTTTAATACCTCATTAAAATAATTAATTAAAAAACGACACAGAATTTTCGTAGATAAAAAAGTTGTATGATTAGATGAAACGAAGGTAAACATAAAGTCTTAGACGGATTTAAATAATTTGACAAAATAGCTCTGTATCACGGATTAGTCTAGATAACTCGGATAAACATTTCGGTTCTAAGAAGTTAGAATTAAATGATGTGTCTATAATTAATATTTCCATACGTGTGGATAATTTTAATTCATTCAACAACATAACTATTTTTTTATAATTTTGCGTTGCGTTTACCTGTTAACAACGGCATGATTCCCAAGTTGCCCTGGCCAACAACATTCGACTGTATGGCAGCTCCCACTCCAAGCGTGGCGAACAATTTAGGATCCAGCTTATTCTCACCCTCGATCAAGCTAACTGGCAAAAACAAAATTATATAGTTAATAATTATTTTTAAAAAATACGATGGTTTTGGATGTCAACTGTTTGATAAGAATTATAGGAACTAGAGTGTGAAAAAAGTCTGAGAGATCTGAGATGAGACATTGATAACTACAGACTTTATCAACACCCTAATCCTCAACTTTCATAGTCTTCAGAAAGGAAGATAAGCATTCATATCACTTTATATCTAGCGATGAGCAGATAAGCGGAGCCTCTGATGACAAGGGGTCCCAAACAATCTATAAGTTGTCCATATAAAATCGAATCTTCAAACAAAGTATTAAATTTATATCTTCTCCATCTTTCTTTATAGGCGATCCATCTAAGGATTGCCTCACATAGTCAGCGCAGAGCTCCACGCGCTTCTATCTCGCCAATCATCTTCCTCCAGACCTCGACCTGTCATTTCCTCCTGGACCTTCTTCATCCACCTGCTTCATAGCCGTCCACGTCCTCTCTTCTCTGGCAGAACCCAATCCAGGACTCGGCTAAGCCAACATTCCTCCGTCATTCTTCTCACATGCCTATACCATCTTATGCAGCGTGTCCCGATCTTTTCATTAATCTCTGTACCCGCATCCATTCTCTGTCGAACCACCTCATTCATAATTTTATCCAGTATGGTAAGACGTTTATAAAATATTTATATAAAAGCCGCAAATTTTATAATATTTAATTTTTCAATTCAATAAATATGCTATAGTGACTATTAATTATTTTGTAAAATTATTTTATGATCATGAAATTATTTTACAATTCAAGAAATTGGTTGGGTCTTTCGCAGATTAGTTCTGCCCGTTGTTTTTAAAAAGGAAAAGTATCTGTCATAGAAAAGTATCAGTTATATTTGAATCAATGTTGTTATTGTTCTATTATATAAACATCTATTAACAGGTGCATTTAGGATTTGCTTAAGCCAATATTTCTAAATATGATAGGGGGCGGGGTAGCCGAGTGGGCTGACGCATGTGCACATTACCGCCGCACAGTGGGACGGGGAAACTCGTGACATCGGCTAAATCTATGTATTTTTTTTTCCAATTGAACTATTCAATAAAAAACAGTGAAAAATTTATATTCTTCCAACTGAAAATATTCCCGGGAACTCCACGAACTCCACAAGGTATGAATAAAACAGTTTATCAGTTATAAACAAGGAATTTTAAGTCTGGCATTAATCTCCCGTCTTTATCCCCTGGACTGGGAAAAACCCGTATAACCTATAAGGCGAGGAATGGGAGGACTAAAGTTTTTTTTTTTTAATGGGGAGGAATAAGGTTAATTATAATAAAAACTTTCGATATCATGTGTTTTTCTTGAATCCGCAGATCGTGGCTTTTTGAAACCGGCTCGTGGCAGGTAGTATTTATTCTGTTACATCAGCCGCAGATCGAACCTGGGGCCAGGAGACCCTCTTTGGGCACACCTAGGCTCTTTATAAAGTGGTTACTCTTTATCGACCGTGATCTCGGTCAAATCTCCTCCAAGCAACAGTACTTCCTTACATTGTACTGAACCCAAGACTCTTGGGAAAGAATACTTTCAAAGTGACAGTTAAGTATTTCCTTTTTTTTTTAAGTAAAGCATATAGATATTTTGGCACATCTTTTTTTTTACCTTCTTAAGCCTCACATATGAAAGAGAAAAACATATATTCTTACATTTACCTCTTACCTACAATTATTCATGATATTTATACATTGCACACAAAGTATAAAATATGTTTTACTTACAGAAGAATGGAGTACTAAGCAGCGCATCCATAACATAATTGTCTACTGCCTTAATAAATAAAAAGAATTTTCTATTTATATCTACATCTCCACCTCCATCAGGAATGTTAATTTTAGAGACTTTTCCAATAAAGTTGTTTCCATAGACAATAATAAGGGTGAACGTTCCCGTTTCAACCTAAAACAGATAGCACAATATATCACAGTCATCGGAGGCCGCATGCGGCCTCTAAACGTTTTTTTCGAGAAATTTATTAATCTAATACTAGAATTAATTAATTTTTAATTATTTAAGGAACAACAATTTCGAAATTAATAGAATTAAGTTGAACTAGTAGGCCCGTGCGAAAAATTCGCACAGCCTATTGTTATCAAATGCCAAATTAACAAGAATATAAAACAAAGCAACGTATCAAAAGCTAAAGAAATCAATTGTTACTTTATCGATAAATATAATCGTCAAAGGAAACAAAAATTAATTTAAATCTTAGTTAATGTTTGGAACCAACATGTTTACAAAATTCCATGAGCTGTATCTTTGCTTAACGTTGCCCGATTTCGATGTTTTTTTTTTTTTTCCTTTTGTAGGAAATTTAGTAATATTTTATGTAATATCATGGGCATAACTTAGAGAAAAAATGTGTACTTTTTTAGCTATTCGCAAAGAAAGATTGTTTTCTTTTAGAACATGTTTGCCTGAATTTTCGGGATGATTGGACTATTTTGCCAGCCTGAAGGAGAAGGAAGCCTTCGAAATCGGTGGCTCAATCTTGGGATTTGGTGAAGAATTAACGATAATATGGCTTGCCGATCAAAAACACCATCGATAAATAATATAAACTCCTCCTCTCTCGATCATAGAGGCCTCAAGTCGACGAAATGAGAAACGCATTCAATGATAGTACTGCGATTACCGTAAGGTTGTGTGGATGCGAACCCTATGCCTTGCGTTTCTCCTTCCTTCCTCTATTTCAAAATTATTGAAATCCTGAAAAATCTAAAGAAATCTTACCATCATTATCATCACCTAATTGCCTATCTTAAATGAACTCTTTTGCTTTCCGAATCCGCATATGCAACAATACGTCTCTGCTTAATATCCTCATAGGGTTCCAGCTCAACCCCTTTCAATAAATCTGCAACTTGCTTTAGAACATCGAGAGCAAGAAGAGGGATTATAATTTCATATTTGATTAAACTATTAATAATTTTAGCTCGTGAAAAAGTGGCTTCAACGCGGCAAAACCACAGTTCTGGCTCAGTTTTCCAGAAATTAGGAATTTTCCATTCTGAAGGTGTAGAAGCTGCAACCTGCGGATCAATTTCTTATCCGGGCATGCTGATTAATTTAAAAAAACCTTACAAATATAATACTATGTAATTTAATAATATAAGTGAATGTATTTTAATTTTTTTTTTTTTTTTTTTATTTATTTCAATGGAATTTACAACTGTATTACATAGAGAATACAATAAGTAAATGAGAAATTTGTAACATGGCATGTACAACATGAAGAGAAACTACCCATTGGTAGAACTCAAATTAAAGTTCTATATTAGAAGATCCCGAGGCCATCTTCTTTTCAGACGCCTCGGAGGATTATCAGGGATCGAGGATGAAGCAAGGTTTGAAACGAGAGGATTCGGATGATTCTGCAGTTTGTTATGGAAGGAAAGGTATCTGGATTGGGCCAGATCGGAAACATATGGAACATTAAGGTCTTTATGGATGATTTTATTTGTGACAAAGTAAGGAGCGTTGAGGATTTTACGAAGGATTTTGGATTGTAAGGATTGGATACGAGAGGAATTCGATGGTTTAGTGGAGCCCCAAAGCTCAATTCCGTAAGTCCAAATAGGTCTTATTATTGTCATATATACGAGTCGTTTATAATTGATTAAAAGCTTAGATCGTTTGTCTAGTAAGTGCTGCAGTAGTCGAAAACGTCGGGCGGTTTCTAGTCGTTTCAGTCTGGTATGGGGGTTCCAAGTGAGTCGTTTGTCAAGGTGGAGTCCTAAGTAGCGGATTTGCTCAACAGGAATAAGTGGAGTATTATTGAAGGATACTGTAGGACAAGAGGTCATAGGTTTACGACGGAGGGTAAAAGTGATTTGATGGGATTTGTTGGAATTTATTTTTATTCTCCAATTTTTACACCATTCTTCAAGGCTTGTGATATGTGATTGAAGAGTTTGGGATGCAATTAAAGGATCGTTATTAACTGATAGGATACACGTGTCATCGGCATAGGTGGTGATGACAGTGTTGGATTGGGTTGGGATGTCAGCTGTATAAACTGTGTAAAGGATAGGACCTAGGATACTACCTTGAGGAACACCGGCAGACTGAGTAAAAAGAGATGAATAAGCATTGTTATGATTGACTTTGAAGTATCTGTCAGTAAGGTAGGAACGTATAATGAGGAAGTATGTAGGTGGTAGGAATTCACGGAGTTTGTACATCAGTCCCGGATGCCAGACTCTATCAAACGCCTGTTCAACGTCGAGAAAGACTCCCGTGCAGTACATTCCGCGCTCCAATGCAGAGGAGACTACATCTACCACACGATGGCATTGCTGAATAGTGGAGTGGGATGTGCGGAATCCAAATTGGTGATCTGGGATAATGTGTTTAGAGTCTAGGATGGGATACAGGCGTTTTAAAATGAGTTTTTCCAGGATTTTGCCCATAATGGGTAAAAGGGAGATAGGACGGTAAGAGGATGGGTGTTCTGGCGGCTTTGTGGGTTTAGGTATCATTTTGACAATGGATAGTTTCCAAGAGTCAGGAAAATATGTGGTGCGGAGTACAGCATTAAATATATAGGTTAGGAACAATATGGCTTTTTTAGGAAGACATTTTAGGATCTGGGAGGTGATTAGGTCATGGCCAGGAGCTTTGCGAGAAGGTAATCTATTAATGATATTGGATATTTCTGAAGGATGAAATGCTTTAGGTGGAGGAGTCAATTGGAGTGGGGTATCCAATTCTGCTTCAATAAACTCAAGGTGGGTTGGATTAAGGATGTCTGGGTGTGGATTAAATGTTTTTGAGAGGTGTTGAGCAAATATTTGAGATTTTTCATCATCAGATCTGGACCAGGTTTGGGTTTCAGTAATAAGTGGGTGGTTAAAATCTTTGAATTTAAGGAGTTTTTTAGTGGTCAACCATAGTGATTTGTCACAAGTAGTAAGTTTTTCTGTCATGTTATGTAAATTTTGAATTTTGTATTTTCTAATTTCAGCTTTTAGTTGGTTAGTTAATTTGTTGTAATATGTCTTATCTGATGGATATCTAGTCCTGTGCCACTTCGATCTTGCTCTGCGTTTTTCCCTTAATAAGATACGAATATGCTGCGGCAAATTTGTCTGTTGGGAGTTGTCAGTTTTATTGGTAGATGTATTATTCTTTATTTTGTCACTTATAGATGTAGTAAGTTCTTTTATGGCTGTGTCAATATCACGTTTCGTCTTAAGTGGAATATTTAGGTCCAATTTATTTTCCAGGTCTTTACGAAAATTGTCCCAGTTTACTCGTCCTGTAATCAGTGTAGGAGAGGACGAGGGCTTAGGAGCGAAGGTTGTGTGTAATGAAAGCAGAACTGGAGAATGATCTGAGGAGAGGTCATCCAGGGATTTTATTGTGACATGGGAAGAGGAAATTTGGGAGGTGACAAATATGTCGAGGATATCAGGGCGTTTTTTGAGGGATGTTGGCCAATAGGTAGGATTCATAGGAGAGAGGACAGAGTAACTATTGGAAGTTGAGACAGAAGATAGTATGTTACCACGGGAGTTGGATGATCGACAACCCCATCGTTGGTGTTTAGCATTGTAGTCTCCTCCAGCAATAAAGCGCGATCCGAAGGATTGAAATAAGGATTCAAGTAAGTTATAGGAAAGAGTATGACCGGGAGGACAGTATACAGCTGAGAATGTTAAATGGAAAGGACGAGTTGAAATGATAACCGAGGTTGCTTGAATAGCCTCCGTTGGAGTAGAAGGAATGAGAGAATGGGATAAGGATTTATGGATAAGGATGCAAGAACCGGCATGAGAAGTGTTGTCGGGGTGGTCTGATCTATAAGTGATATAGTCACGTATGTAGAAATATGAACGTCGAGTGAAGTGAGTTTCTGTCAGTAGAGCAATATCAATGTGATAGTCATGAAGAAAAATGTCGAGTTCGTCTCGGTGGTTTTGTAGTCCGTTAGCATTCCATAAAAGAACAGCTAGGGGCTTAGTGCTCATCGTGAGAGATTGAAGGGAATTTCGGTAAGGATTCTTGTGAGGAGGGTAATTAATGGCTTGATAGTCTCTTGGAGATCTTTCAGGAAGGACGCAAGGGTGGAGTTTATTAAATCGATCGGGTCGATCGGGTTTTGTTGGTCAGGTTGGTTTTGATTAGGAGTTCGTGAGGGAAAGATTTTATGATAAGGAGTGTCTGATGAAGGATGTACCCTTGGAACTTGGGAAGGAGAGTAAATATGAGCAGTAGGGTGGGAATAAACAGGAGTTGGATGTTCGGGCGGTAATTTTACACGTATAGGTATCTGGTGAGGAGGCATTTGCTGACGTGGAGATTTTGAATGAATGTGGGAGATTTGAGTCTTGGATTGGGAGGTCTGGATCTTAGGTTTGGAAGCCTGAGTCTTAGTTTTGGAAATCTGAGGCGTCTGACGTCGCGGCTGTTGATTCTTCACCGTAGTGTCTGAATATAGGTGCCTAGAGTCTTGATGGGGATGATCTGTTGATGTAGAAGGGTTGTGCGTCAATTGTGGTATTATTTCGTTCGGCAGTTGAGGAAACGCTGCCAAATTTAGGAGTTCAGGTGCCTGTACCTGTGCCTGGGTTGAATTCTTCTGTTCTTCTTTTAATGATAAATTATAAGTTCTTTGCTTATACAGCTTTTTATAGATAATGCAGCCCCGATAGGTTGCAGGGTGGTCCTCACCACAAAGGGCACATTTTGGTGGTTCATTTAACGGTTTCTGGCAGGTGTTAGAGGCGTGAGGCCCGGCGCATTTAACGCAACGCACCGAGTGATGGCAGTAAGCCTTTGTATGCCCTAAGTTTTGGCACTTGGTGCATTGAACGACTATTGGTTTCTGCCTCGGCTCTTCAAATTTTACAACAGAATACAGCAGTCTTTTAACTTCGAAGATTTCTGCATTATTCCGGGCTGGTTCTAGATCGATGAAAAATAATGGCAGTGGATATTTATCAATAGGATGTAAAATAGAAGATATATGTCTTACCGAATGGCCGATATCTTCCAGATCTTTTTTTATAGCGGTAGTGGGTGTGGTAGAGTGAAGACCTCTCAAAACCACTCTATATGTTTTGTCTTCTTTTAGTTGATAGCAGTGGAAGTCGTGATTGAGTGCTGTCAAATGATTTATAAGTTTTTTATAATCTTCTTTAGTATTGGTGTTAATCTTTATATCGTTGACTCGAGAAAAACACCGGAAGTTGGTCGGTCCGATCAGATTAGCTATTTCTTGACCGAACTGAATGAAATTGTCAATCTTGCTTACATAAATCGGAGGTGGCACTGGTTCAGTGAAAGTTCTAGGTTCAGTGATTTCGTTAATTTTATTATTGGCTGTAACAGAATTGTTACTGGATGTGTTAGTTGATGGTTTAGTGTCAGGTTTCATAGCTGAATTATTACTAGTTTTTGATTGTTTATTTACTTTGAGAGCTTGCTTTGTTTTAGCGGATTTTTTTTTTTTTTTATTAGGTGAGTTGCCCGCCGAACCGGGGGCAGAGTTTCTATGGCGCTTTTGGAGAGTTCGCCTTGTTAAATATTGAGAATCAGTCTCACTGATTTCGGAGAAAGGAGTCTCTTCATCTGATTCGTCAAAAGAAATGTTCTTATCAGAATCCATACCTCTAAATAATAATATATACAAAAAGAAGAGAGAAAAAAAAAAGTAACACTAATAAGAAAATTTACAAAACAAATACTTAATAACTAATCTATTTACAAATATATATACAAATATTAAAAAAAACATTTTTATAAATAAATAAAATAGAGTCTCAGTAGAAAAAAAAAATATTAAAATAAAATAATCAATTAAGAAATAAAAACAGAGAAAAAAAAAATATATACTGTCTTAGGTACGAACTCAAGATATTCTGAACGTAAAATAAAGCGCCGTGACCTTGAATTTGAAAGATAAGACCCGCTGAGGGGAATTATCTGTCACGTAAACTGTCTCTAGCAATCGAGTACCAATTTAATGTTGCTAATTGTTAATAAAAGTCACTCACCTCACTGATTGTAATTTAAAAATGTTAAATTGTTTATAAACTCACTGTTTACAAAGTCTGAGAACAGGATTTGAGATAATAAGCACATAACAAACTAGCAAAGACGGAACGATACGAATATAGAACCTCAGTTTCGGCCATGACACTTATCTTGTATTTTAATTGAATTAATTTATATTGAAGAGAAAATGATTTAATTGAATTACTAATAATTATCGGTGTTAACGCCACAGCGTTAATTAATTAAATTTTATTTTTATTTTAAACATTAACCTGCTTAATTGTTATTTTTGTTTGTCTCATAAAATGAAACCAATTAGTAATTATATTTATATCTGTATATATAAAAATGAATGTATGTCTGTCTGTCCGTCTGTTTGTCCTTAGTGCATTACTAAACCATTCAACCGATCGCCATGAAGCTTTGGGAAGTTGTTCCGTACAATCCTGGGGAGATTTCTGGCAATTACTTCTGCCATATGATAATTTTATGCATGTAAAAAAAAAAAGAAATGTAAATGTTTTCCTGTTCAAAGCCGCCAAAAAATGTGTCACTATAAGCTGTAGCGCCAAAACGGCTTTACCGATTTTAACGAAACTTGGCTAAAGTCTTCCCCTTGAATCCCTTTTCATTTATGCGTGTGTGTAACATACTTTGCCGAAAATAAGCTAAAAAATGTTACGATGCGTTCAATAATTTATTTGACGATATTGCAGATGTTGCAGAGTTTTAAACATTTACTGCTTCTATTCAGAAAAGGCCATTTCCTTTTGCCTCCTCACTACCGAAGGTAGGCAAGCATTTTTTTTTTATTGATTAATCGAAAATTGTATGATTACTACAGTAATTGAAATTATCATTTGAAGAAGTTATGTGATTCTGCTTATTTAGGTCAATACTATTATATGTTCTTTATATTAATTTTTTATTTTAGTTTTATAAGTTCAGCTCAGGCTGTTTCTGATGATTATGAATGTTCAATTTGAATCATGAGAAAAAAAAAATCATTAGTAATTGGTAAATGGTTGACTGTCGTGGATAATGAAGAGAAGAATAGTTGGGGTGGTCAGTCAAAAAAGAAGGAAAAAATAAATGATAATATTTATTTTTACCTATGTCTACGTTTCGACCTGAAGTTCAGGCCATCATCAGGGCTAAGAAAAGAACCAGATGACAAGGTATGAGAAATATAAAAATTACAGTAAAATGAAGTTGTTAGAATAATGACAATAGTAAGAACAAGAGGCAAATAATAATAACAGGTACAAAGTGTAGAATGATGAAGTAAACATAGTCAAAAAAGGTGACATAAGTATTGTAAAGGGAATCTTAGAATAAAATGTAAAACAGAAAAACATGAAATTGTATAAGAAATCGAAATAAATAGTAAAATTAAGAAATAATTATTTTTTCTCTTTCTTATTTTAACCTTCTCAGTTTCTCTCCTCCTTCCTTTCATTCCTTTTCTCTGTTTTAACTCTTTATTATTTCATACCTTGTTTGTACATATTGATAGACTTTACAACATCTCAATTTTCTATCTAAATATTCTATTCAGTCTATCTTAATTTTACTATTTATTTCCATTTCTTATATAACTTCATATTTTTCTATATATTTTTCATATATATATATATATATATATATATATATTCATAGACCTTCATAGCTAATCTTGTTTATATTCAATAGACTGGTCAATAGTTTATACTTAAACACTTGTTATGGATTGTAGCCCTAACTATAAACAAGTCCTAGGTCCAAGTCCTAAGCCCGTAGACTTCAAAATACACAGTCTGACTCCGTCCGTCACAGAGCCCAGTGCTTCCAACTGCTACACTGCAATCCACCTTTGAAGAGACTTAGTTCTCTCGTCGTGCTCGCCGCTGCCCACTTGCAGTTTGGTTATATGAGCGCTCATGAATGGTCGCTGCATATAGATTGGAGTGCCAGCGATTCGTCCACTTTTACGACCGTCATCTGCTTGCGACCATGTAACGTTGTACAACTTTTATTATTTTTGTTCTGTGTAAATTTTATTTTAGGACTATTAATATGTTTGCTAATTGTTTCTATTATTGGTTGTAATTTTGGGCCATTTATATATATTTTTTAAAATTTAATTTCCATAATCAAACATAGAAATACTTTATTAAATATTTCATAATTGTTTTTATTAGCATTGTACTCAGCTACCTATTGAATAGCAATTCACCTGGATGCCTCCACACAACAATGGATACCTTAATAGTAATGAAATGAAATTGCTTTTATTATCATTGTCCCTTTAGGAGTTGATTAAAGACAACGCGGAAGGCAAAAAAGCAGATGGTAGATCGAATCGATGGAGATGCAATAGAGCTGCATGCATATTACTTGAAAGAAATAGTCCGTGATAGACTGAGACGGGGATGGCTGATTAAGGAGGCAAAATGTCTAGAAGGCATATAAAAAAAAAAAGTAACAGAAAAAAAAATGTAATATATATAAGCTTATGATTGGAAAAATTCCAACCACACATCCTTATATATCCAAAATGCAGGTAAATTATTTTATGAAAAAACGTCAATTTTTCGCCATCACTCCATGACAACCAATCGCATACTGGAAGTAAGGTAAGTAAGCACAGCTGAGGAAGGTTATAATCAAACAGCTGATTTGAGAAAAATATATATATATAATACATTTTTTAATATATGCATATTACATATTTTTATAGTGAAATATATATGACATATATATATATATATATATATATATATATATATATATATATATATATATATATATATGTATATGTAAATATATGACATATATACATGTATTTATTTATTTTCTTGAAGGATATATTTGTAATACGTAAGCAACACGACTTGTTTTTCATTCCTGACTGTATCTTACCTCCACTCAATTAATAAAAATACACATGTAATCAATAAAAACTATTTCAATAATTAGGCCTAAATAGATAAATAATATGTGTGTGTGTGTGTGTGTGTGTGAGAGAGAGAGAGAGAGAGATTTGGTGAACCATGGTTTGGCCTCAAACTTTCTCTCCTTTCTCTGTAATTATTTACTTTTCATAATGAATATATTTTTCACTCCACAAAAATGTAATATATTGTGTTTTTAAAACATATTATGATTATTCAAGTTTAATAGTTAACCAATAATAAACGTTTCAGTTGTTACTCATTCATATTGATTTCCAATTCTTACTCTTTAATGTGCAATTTGGGAAAAAATTAAATAAAATACCTTGCTTTCCAAATTCAATATATGTATTTCTATTCTTCCAAAGTAATCATTCTTCAGAGTGTCTATCAAGGGCACAGTAACTTGCTCGCTTTTTAGAGGCGTTTTTTGTTTGGAACCCTTCTTAGGTGCCATTTCTGAAATTAAACCTATGTCAAAATATGTGATTTTTGAAAAGAGATGTGAGATCTTATTGTTAACATTTCCCCACTCCCCAATGAATCAGCAATATTTTTTTTTCATCACACCGACATAAAAGTAGATATATAGAAAATATATATGGACCCTTAAGAGAGGTCACTTAAGAATTACATATTTAAACATAAACCATATCAGGCATAAACTACATTAACAATAGCAATATATAAACCGAAATGAAGAGGAAAGAAAGGTCGCCCGAGGAAAACCTGGTATGAGGAAGTTAAGGAAGAAATGATGGGCAGGGGTATGAAGAAGATTGACAGGGAGGAAGAAGATGGCAAAGACTTATTTTTGGTGTCGACACATGATTAGCGTTGTAAAAGTCGTTAATTAAAAAAAATATATAAACAATATATATACAGCAAATTAAAAAGCAATGTATATATAACTAAATAAATAATCTCAGTAATAAATTTAATTGAAATGAAAGAAAAAAAAGAAAGGACGTTGATTCTTTAAGTCAAAACATAAATAATAAGAACTACTATTTACTTCTATCGAAATTACAGTCATAAAATGTAATTTCATGATTGCAATTGTTTGGAATGTAAGAAGATATTGGAAAAGAAATTTGAATGATTGCAGATATTAGATGGTCGATTAATAAGGCAACGGATCGAGTAAGAAAGGAACGTTCGAAGGTTTTAATTCAATGATAGGGTGCATAATAATAATACTTTATTTATTCTGGAACAGGTCCCTTTAGAATAATACATAGAAATAGACATGTGGGCTTTGTAGCCTCAAATAATAATCACAAAAACAAATAGACATAATAAATAAATAAAGTATAAGTTATTTTCTAACTTTATCAATTAAGAAAAAAAAGGTGAAATAAAAATATCACCTAATAATAAATAATTTATATACATATTTACAACATCTATTCACAATTTTAGGGAGACTTAATGGATATAAAATGATTGAAATGTGAGTGGCGAGATTTAAAGGTGAGCAACGGATGCAGGAAGGGATAGAATTCCATAGGGATGAGGATCGGGCAATGAAAAATCTATCAAAAACTGAGGTTTGGTGGGCCCTTATATACAAATCTGAAGACCGGGAACGGGTTCTGTGGGAGTGGATAGAGGATTTGAATTGAAGGAACTCGGAGATGTATAAATGACGGCGGGACTGGATGGACTTGGAAGAAGAAGAAGAAATAAAAATAATTTTATTCCGGGACACAATCCCTTGAAAATAATAAAATAGAACAAAATAAAAAGATTACATATGGCCAAAATAAAATCAATAGAAAAAAAGAAATAATGTAAAGAAAATATAAGGTAAACATTCTATATACAAAACAATTATTACTATGACAAGACACTTAAAGCTATTTGCACTGATAGACCAGTATACAATCTTAAGAAAATAATAAAGAATCAAAAAATAAAAATATATCAAATTCTCTATTAAAATCAACTATCTAACTGTTTTTGGGATAAGAATTGGAATAGAAGGGTTTTGAATGTGGATATGGATGGGGAATGTCGAATTTTGATATGGAGGGAATTCCAGAAATTGGCAGAGCTAACAATAAAGGAATTTTGGAATGAAGCAGATCTTTGAGAAGGCATGTAAAGGTTAGAAGGTCGAGATCGTTTGGACAGGGAATGGACTGAGGATTTGAACTGGAGAAGGCGTAAGAAGGACGATGGATGTGGATGATTTGGTAGAGGAACGTACCTAGGAAATATTGTCTTCGGAAGGAGGGGAAAAGTCACTTTAACTCAGCGTAGTGGTGAGAAACATGGGAGTATCTTGGGGCTCCGATCACAAATCTTCCGCAGCTGTTCATTAGTCTTTTCAGTCTATCGCGGAGCTCCACAGAGAGGCCATCATACACCACACAGCTATAGTCAAACTGGGGGAAAATGAGAGAGGAAACTAGGAGTCTACGCGTATGTTGAGGTAGGAGATGGCGGAAGCGATGGAATAACAAACAAGCAATCGAAGAATAACAAACCAGGTGAGTCAATTCATTCAAAGGGTATTTACTCAGTCCCACATTACATACATATTCTCATTGTTTCTTGTCATTCAGTGTCACAAAAAGGTATCAGATTCCCGAATTCCCAACAACAGTTAAACACTCTCAAAAAGTATATATCCAGTGCCGGGGTTCGATTAAATAAAATTATAATCACTAGTGTAAATAACCTAGTTCCCCGATAAAAGCGGAAGGCTATTCGCTATTGCCCGCCAATAAAGTCATTTACAATTAACCTTTAACAGGTTATTTACAGTATAATAGCAAGAAAGAGAAAATCCACTTTAACTCACCCTACAGGTGGAACACATGAGACCTATGAAGTACCGAAGATAAATCTTAATAAGCACTTACACATTCACTTCAGTCTGTTCTTGAGTACAATGGAGTATGATCGCTTCTGCCATCCTTCTTTGCGTAGCCCAATAAAGTTGTATGTTTTGTCTGAAGTAAATTGTTTTTTGATGTCCTGTAGTCAAAGATGTGTGTCCAGATGTGATGCACCGTGTCTTTGGGATGGAAGAGTGGATTCTAGAAGACACCGATCTATCTTATCGTATTTCAGGAGCTTTATGGAAGGGAAACGTTTGGACCGTGGCTAAAAGGAGCTTCTTAGGAAAATTGAAATATTTTGAATTTGTGGCATACTTTACTATTATCATAAAGAAAGAAACAATGTCATTCCATTTGGCATTCAAGAAGACGCTTTGTTACATAGATTCCAACAAAATTCAAGAATGTTTCACTTATATTGCGTCCTCTAAACGATACGAAAGTTGGTAAAGTAAACAGAAGTGTTCAATACATAAGACAGTTTAAATTTCTTACTAAAGAAATCCGTTTTTTTTTTTTTCAATGCGAGTTGTTTTGTAATCTCTATAAACTCAGTAACAGGTTAGGAACTATTGATTGAATGATTCACTCAGAGCAATTCACTCAAACGAGTGATCCTCTTACTCAGTAGAAGGAGCTATCTTAAGCTTGATACAGAGATGAATAGATCCAAATCTCATGATCGGTTCTTGACCAGATCGTCCACATCATTTCAGTATGTTTATAACATAAACTCGTTCAGGAATGATTTTGACTTCACAGAAATCTGTTATCTATTTTTTTCATAGCTTTTAACAATCGACATGCTTCCTTAAGCAGACCCTACACGGTAATTCATGAATGAACGTCACAAGAAGTTCCAAGATTGCCCGCTGTCGCTTTGTTCATGAAGACCCTTAAACGTTCAATCATTACTGATCATTACTTGTGTGAAGTTTCCACTTTTTGTTCTCTCCAATTTATTGCCTACTTGACTATTTAAAGAAAAAATAGTTGAAAATGGTTAATAATAATATAGACTAGGGATATAAACAACTATTTACTTTTATGAAATTATTTACTTAATAACGAGACCTAGGTAAACTAACCTATCTAGTAATAAGGTTAGTCTCATATCGTTTTGACAAAAGTTAGTAAAATATAAGTCTACTACTTACAAAAATTAAGGAAAGGTATTGCGAAAATAATAAATTTGTTGAGGAAAATGGGAAAAGAACTGATAAATATACACAACGTTAAAGTTTTTTTTTCCTAAAGTAAATTGTGAAGTTTCCTCATTTTTTTTTTTAATTTGTTGCCCACTTGACTATTTAAAAGAAATAGTTGAAGATGGTTTAAAATCATAAACAAGGGATATGAAAAATTATTTAACTATTTACATATAATGAAAATCAGAAATGTATAATGGTTGTGAGGCCTAGGTAAACCAACCTATCCAGCAGTATGGTTAGTCTCCGCACTACTTTTACCTCAGTCCCCCCTCCACTTCTCGTGAATGAACCTTTGATTTCCGGATGTTCGGAAATCCGCAGCGCACCACCATCAGTACTTCATTCACTACCTTACACGACAATTCGGAACGTCATTAGTGCAATTCCGATTGACCGTGTAGGGTCCCCTTTAGGGTTTGTTCATTTGGTTGGAAAAAAAAATAGTCAGTTTTAAGGTTATCTTAATCTTTGGAATTATTATTAGGTGTAAAATACCTAATTTTCTTATTTTATATTTATCAGATTCAGAAGTTTTCTAATGACACACTGTAAAAATTACTTGAATCCTTTCTTATACATTTCGGTGTTTCTTAAATAGATACAAAAAATATCTCTATTACAATGAAACGAGGAATACAAAATATTTAAAATATTTTGAAAACTTGTTTCGGTTAAAGGGAGTCCTTACCCTGTCTTTTTTTTATTCTTTTCAACGCAAAATACTGAGATTCCTCGAAGTTTTCAGTATATGTTGTATATCTTAACCCTAAAATAAAACACAAAAAAGGTATAGAACCAGATGATATTTATTTATTCTTCAATTAATAACAATGCGAATTATGTGTAAATGTATTTAATGTGAATAGTTAAAGTATACAATATGATAAAATCTGTAATTATTTATATACCTATTCAGGAAGCGTAATAGAACAAAATTTGCAATAGTTACAGGTTGTCACTAGCGGATCCAGGATTTAATTTTGGGGGGAGGGCTTCAGCCCGAATTTCTTTCATAAATTTTTATTCCATAAAAATAACGATAATTACTTTGGAAAAACAGAAAGAAACTGACTACCTATATGAAATAGTGTTTTAGTTATTCCTTAAGTACTCTTAAATGTAATTACACGAACAATAATACTTTAAGAGGTATTTCTTAAATTTTTTTCCCATAAAACATGGTTATATTTTTCCATTTTGGGTGGGGCTTCAGCCCGAAAGCCCCCTCCCCCCCGTAGATCCGCCCATGCAGGTTGTTAATGATAACGGTCTATTATAACCTCTTTTCATTTTTATCATCAGTTAGTTCGGAGAAAAAAAAATTAAACATAATAAATATATTTTATAGGAGTAAATCTACATTAAATATAGTATGACAGTACGGATCCATTTTCTGGCTCTTAGTAGTGATGGATTTTGATGAATGAGATGTAAAGCGAAAGGGAATTTAGTAGAGAAATGACTAATTTCAATATTAATTCCTTTTTTTTTTTTTGCTTATTTAATGAAATTTACAACTGTATACAAACACAACCATTAGATATGTACAAATTAGAAATAATGACACACAGGCTTGAACATATACTAGCATAGGTAGCACTCCCTAAATAAATCTAGGTAAGAAGTTCACGAGGCCATCTTCTTTTCAGACGCCTAGGGGGATTATCAGGAATCGAGGAAGAAGCAAGACTGGAAACTAGTTGATTCGGATGGGACTGGAGTTTATCATGAAAGGATAGATATCTGGCTCGGGCTAAATCAGTGACATATGGAACATTAAGGTCCTAATGTAATGGTTTTATTTGTGAAAAAATATGGGGCATTAGGGATTTTACGAATGATTTTGGACTGTAAGGATTGGATACGATAGGAATTCGAGGCATTAATTCTTAAATTCATAAAACAACTTTTATAAAAGACATTGAAAAAAGTAGAAGATTTCAATCCTTCGAAGTTGGTAAGTCGATGGATAGTGATGGATCAAAAGCTCCTACACGCAGAACGCGATATGTCCCGGCGATACGATGTTCTTTGTCTGCATCGCTGTGGATTATCGCGTTCTGCGTGACTGCAATAAAGCAATACATAGCAATAAAACTATATCTTTATATCGCCGCCAGCAGCCTTAAGAAGATAGTATTGCGTAGACTACTTGTATTCCGCGTTACAGACTTCATTTTCATAAATTATTTACAGTCGTACAACACTTTGTGAGTGATTCCATTTATCATTACCTACAATTGTTTTAACAACAAAAATTCTCAGAAATAGAGAGTTTTCTGATTAAATTAATTTAAACAGCTACTAAAAACTCATTAGTACCTATTTGCTTTACACTTTAATTGTAAGATAATTTGATCACAAGACCGAGAAAACGCGTGGCCTACAAAAACATTAGACCGTTTAGCCTATATAATATCTTTATTTCGATATGTTGAGAGAGAAGAAGTCACACCAAACGCCCCAATATTTTTGTATTCCATATTTTTTCTCGATTTTGCGATCAAATTATTATACAATTCAAGTGAAAAGCAAATGGATGTTCATGGCTTATTAATACCTCATTAAATTCAGTAAATTTCCGAATTTTCAGATTGAAAACGCACTATTTTCGAAAATTTTCTTAAATAAAAAAATTTACGGAGTTGAATACGGAGCTATGGAGCTCCACTAAACCATCGAATTCCTCTCGTATCCAATCCATACTATCCAAAATCCTTCGTAAAATTCTCAATGCTCCCTACTTTGTTACAAATAAAACCATCCATAATGACCTTAATGTTTCATTTGTTTCAGATCTGGCCCAATCCAGATACCTATCCTTCCATAATAAACTTCAGAATCATCCCAACTCTATCGTTTCTAACCTTGATTCCTCTTCAATTGCTGATAACCCTCCGAGGCGTCTGAAAAGAAGATGGCCCAGTGATCTCCTAATGTAGACATATCATTAGAGTGCTACCATTGGGTAGTTACTCAGCAAGTGTTTCATGTCATTATATCCATATGGTAACATTTACTAGATGTATTTATTTGATACAGTTGTAAATATCAATAAGAAATAATAAAAAAATAAAAAAAACGTTTTAGGTGACGAAGCCGCTCACGAAGTTTTGAACGGATGTTAATAATTTGATAAACAGGATTTGATACCACGGACTACATTGATAAGCAACACTTGCGAGCATGCGTCCCGTTATTGTAATTGAAGTTACAGGATCGCGAAGTTTGGACTGGACAAGTAAGAATCGTATGCTTACTAACGAACTTTGGTTGGAGGATTGTGTTGATCCTGATCTTGCGAATTTGAGTTTGACGGTGGTCAACAGACGGAATATTTATATTGGCATCGAACCTTCGAGCTATCAGCAGCGCAAAGTCCTCTTTTATTATTAGTGGATATATTTAATATTGGGATGTAAGATCCTATCTTTACCGGACCATAAACATCCATCCTCTCAAGTCATGTCGGAAAACGCAGAGGATCTCATCACCTCCTGCCATGAGAGTATGGCAGTGCTTTCATGATGCAGCCGCACAGAGCTGATTGGCTCACCCCTAGACCCGGAGGCAATGAACTGGCTCGGGGAGGGGACCAGGGGGTGGGGAGTGCCCCGTACGGCCAGTCGGTGATGTACCATGCTCCCCATCGCAGTGCTGTTCCAGGTGGCCCTTATAGGTAAGTCATGCCACTTTCACTCTACAGTTATGTCACTACGGGAGTCGATCCCGCACAATGGCCTAACGGGACAAGGGGTCTGGATGCCGAGCATACCTTGGTGCTCGATTGTGACAAAGCTGTCGATGAGGGTTGACGTTAAGGCGATATCATATAAGGAGATTATTCATACTTGAAATTTCATGGATAATCTGACCACATAACGTTCAAATAATAATGTAAGATATTCAAGACCTCCACATGCATGTTACTAACATGTTTTTACAATTTCAAATCCATCAGAAAGGAACTTCTTTCTCTTCTTCCGTTGTCTTATGAGAAAAGAGGGGAGGACGTGACTAGTTTGATATAACCTTGACCATAATTTAGTAACATTGAAGAACTTCTTTTATTTCAGAATTTTATGTGTAACTTAAAACTTTAAGATAAATATGAAACGCCTTTTTCTTAAGGAAAGCATTTTTGTTTTTTTTCCTTTTCAAAAAGGAGTATCATTGTTTCCCGGTATTTCCAAACAATAGATTTTACCCTCCATTCGATTTCTCCATTGAGACCATCCTGTGAACCCGGAAAGTGTTGTATGCGTATCATTCTAGATTTTTTTTAAATTTAATTTATCTGCTTTAGTATTCGTTCACGAAGCAATTATTTGGTATTTCATTATAAAGCATTATGAACAAATACATCATATTTATACCATGGTATTTATTGTTATTTTAAATGCTAAGACCATCGAGGTAGGGATGTAAAAAATAACGCACAGATGTGATTTCACGTACCATGCAGTGAAGACTTGAGAGCCTACTTTCGAAAAGACCTCCCTGCGTCTTCGACAATCTGTTGCGACAATAAATAAATAAAAAAAACAAGATGTCCTTGGGTCAAAGCTTCAACGAGTACAGCCTCCAGTCTCTTGCAAGAAAAAAAAAAGATTCATTGTACTTCATTTAGAGAAGCTTTAGAGCTATCATTGTCAATTAAATAAAATTGTTTGCACTTACTTAATTACAGGTATATAATAATGATATTACACAGAAATTAATTAATACCTTGAATTCATGATAGTCCAGTCTTTGAGGTAGGCTTCGTTATAAGCTTTAATTGATAATTTATATTCAATATAAATTTAATTTCTAATATAGTTAAATCAGATTCCATTCATCCATTGTAATGACCATAAATATTTATATGTTATTTATCAAAGAATTTTTTTTTTTTTTGTCGATACTCCATATCTTCGTCAAATCATAATTGAGTCCTCATTTTGAAGATCTTCTTCTCCTTCAGATGGAAAAAACAGTCACTCTCCTTCTCTGAAATTTCAGGGAAAAAGGTTATGAAGGAAAAGAAACTTCATTTGCGAATGAGTCAAAAATAAAACATTTTTTGTTGATTGTACCCATAATTATTTGAAAAATAACTAAACTCCCTACAAAACAAAACAACAACAAAAAAAACATCGAATTCGGACCATTATTAGCTGATATATACAGGTTATTAAAATTCATAAACATTTTGGTTTTAAACCTAAATGAAGTTTTTTAATTTTTATTTTCTGGTCGATTACATTGATCGAAAAAATAGCAAATGATTCCTTCTTCATATAATAAGTAAAATTATTTCCTTGCGATTTTGTCATGTGTTCACTGACCAGTAATTTTTGCGAATTGTTCAAGGACCAACTAGTTTAAGAATATAAGTGTAACGTATTTGGTTCATTTTTCTAATTAATTTAATCGAAATGATCATACTTGAACGTGATGCAAGCAGCTCAAAAGTTCTTTCAGGGAATCTGGTATTTTTTTATTTATTTTTTTAATAAAGTCTCAATGCCCGAGAGTTGATTAATAAGTGGTGCCGGTTCGATTTCGGCCTATGAAGGGTTGACTTGTATACTCTGACAGTCCCACGAAATCGTAACCTTCACGCTCTAGCTGTGGTGATTGGTACCTTACAAAATGGTCCATCCTTTCTAATCTAGTTGGAGTAGATCATAACATTAAACCAAATGAACAATATTAATCATAATATATGAGCATTATTAGTAATTATTAGTTGTATCTACACATGATACATTAGCCTTTCAGTTGACAGAATGACTAACTCCAACTTCAACATTTTTCATTAATAATTTTAGTGATATTTCTAGAGGAAAAATTTAAACCTTTGTTCGCAGTTCTATATTTCAACACAGCAATCACCTACCCTGGAATGAACTTACTCACTGTATGTACAGATATAAATTTTCCAAACAGAAACATCACTAAAATGACTTTACTCGAAAAAATTGAAATTAGAGTTAGTCATTCTGTGGACTGAAAGGCTCATATAATTATTTATTTATTTTCTGATAATTATTTATATTGGATACAGGATTTGGTGGGTGGTTTGGTTATTTTATTTGTTTATTCTTTTAATAATGGTAATCACACTAGAAATAAAGAATGAATTTATATAAAATAATTTTTAAATAGTCCTTGAAGTACAATAAAAAAAAATCCAGAAACAATAATACTTTTAAAAACAAGATTTTGTATATGCCTACATGGCTGAAATACATGTCAAAATTATAAATAGAGTACATATTTTGAGAATTTTTATTTTTTTAAGTATTTAGCTAAGATAATTCACAAAAAGAAATATAGATCAATAAAAAAATAATATTTTTCATATGGGAAGGGCTTCAGCTTAAACTACAATATTCGAATAATAATATCTAAAATTTACCATGGCCAAATTTAATGTTGATACAGTTTATCTTTATTTTTTTTAATTTTATTTATATGATATATTTCTTGAAGAAAATATATACCCTTAAAATTTCCAAAATTTTGCCAAATTATTTCAAGATATAATGGACGGACTGTTTCAAACGTAGTTATCTTACTTCGAACCTGAATTAAATTTTCATTATGTTAAAATAAATTAATATTTTTTTGTTCACATCAAACGAATCACACAACATTGAATGACGAACTCTTTTTATTCAATTTTCGCTTTTAAATAATTGTATATAATTAGTTTTATGCTATATGATAAGTTTCATTATCATTGTATGTTGATTTTTCTATAGTATTTTTCAAATCGAATCAGTACTATTATAACATACCTTCATATATTATATAAATGTTATATTATATAATTAATCTTTTGAGTTATCGTATTAATTATAAGTAAAATATTACAATGACATGTATAACACATATATGAAGAGTTCTTACGTCATATCTTCGGTAATATCACACATAACATTTTCTCTTTGCAATCACAGCTTCCGTAAGCATAACATACCCAAATTCCGAACTAGCACTTCTGCTAAAAGTATGTTGTTTTTAAAAATCTTATATGTATATATTGAATTTATATTATAATAGATGCATAATCGAGAAATTTTGTTTTATATTTCTAATTTTTTTATCTAAAATGAACAAGATTATTATTAATTAACACTGAGGAAATATGACTATATTTATTGATGTAAAAATAATTGGTTTTACTAAAAAATAGTCCTTCAGTATTTGTTTCATATATCTATGAGAATAATGTATCTTGCTTTATCTTGAACTATACAACTGAATCTATGAAACCATAGGATAATATATGGATCAGTTTCATAATTGTTAATAACACTGTGTCTAAGTACTTAATTATATATTGCGAAAAGTTTGGAAATAAATCGTTAAAAAATTAATTATTATACCACCACTAGTTAAGTAAATCATTGAAATGTGTCAGATTTTCTGTATCCGGTTTCCTACAGATCTTGACGTATTAAAACCTCTTGATTTAAAAAAAAAAAACTCATATTCGGCATTGGGCTATGCATCTGTATCCATATCTAAATGTAACACACCAAGATTATCTGTGAAACAAGTAGACCAATTTTTCAGTTGTTCGTTTTTAACAAGAATTCAAGAAGTTAGAAAACGAATTCGACAGCCATGAAGTTGCATACCAAAGAGGGGAGAGGAGGAATTCCAAAATTACGTACAGGGCAATGCAAAAAGTTTTTTTTTTTAATTGCATCATGAAGTCTAAACAAATAAAACATTTTAGTATACTATAAAACTTTTTTTTTATATTAGTAGTAATACCTTTAAAGTTTTTTGTTTTTATAATTTATGTTTATTTTTAGCGATCCTTAAAAATAAATCCACACTGGATCCAGCTTACAAAAGGGAGCCCCATACAAGTGGAATTTCTTTTTGGGGGAAGGAAAGGTCTCAAAATCATTCCAAATGGCCTAAATACGCCACAGCACCAATCCTATGTACTCCTGTTTGCAATAGCCCAGATATCAATTTGTCTATATTAGAAAAGTTATTTTAATCGGACCAATACTAGCGAAGTTGAAGCTAACAATTTTTATTGCTACCATAGCGGCATTATTAATATTATATTATAATATATTACATTATATTTATTGAAGTGAGTAAAAATTAATTATTTAATAATTAATCTCAAAATGTTCTTAAAGATCATCCAAATAAGGAAAATAAATAAAAAAATAATCGAGGAGGAGATCAATCAGTCGACCATTTTTCTCAAAAATTCTAATTAAAATTAAATTATTTAATATTATTCGCCCCACCAAGGGGTTATAGGAATATTAGTCCGTGGTACATCCCCCTTTTTATCAAATTATTAACATTTGGCTGAAACTTTGTAAATATCTTTATCTTATCGTAACCTACAAATATTTTATTTACGGAAATCATCGGAATTGGGCCATTTTCAATCTGGAGGATGCAAACTTTGTCTATTTAATTAGGTACTATAAACTCGTAAATACACATTTTCTTTCAACTTGAATCGTAAGATAACTTGAGCACAAGGTTGAGAACAAATGTGGCCTTCAAAAATATTGAGTCGTTTGGCCTATATAACCTCGTTATTTTGACAATTTGGGGGTGTAGGTAAGCCAAATGGCTCAATGTTTTTGAAGGCCACCTTTTTTCTTGACTTTGTGCTCAAGTTATCTTACGATTCGAGTTGGAAGC